AATATGAATACTATAATCCAGAAAATTCAGAGTAGACATGTTCAAAAGCAAAACAAACACGCAATATATTGTCAGTCCGTGCAGTTGTGGTAAGCAGACTGTGACATTTGAACGCACCCGGTGAACTGTAAACATCAACAATAACAGAACTCTTGCCCTGTTTACAAAAACTGTGTACATAACACGAGTGTGCTCGGTTTGCTAAACTCTGTACGCAACTCTTAGTTCAAATTGACGATACTTGTGAAGGAATTTTGCTTTCTGATATTTCTACTCAGAATAAAATTATTTTTCTGGATAAAAGTTTTAATATTTCTTATTAATACACAACAAGATTGCCACTTTTCCTAAGGATTAAGAATAAGGTTAAAATTTGTGAGGGTGCAAGGATGTGTCAATCAAACAAATCAACATATTTTTTAATATTTAGCAACAGGAAAAACAAATAAAATATAGTATTTAGACGGAAATATTTTCCAGGTAAACATTGGTAAATGAATATACATAGATACAACTCATTGAATCTCTATTTGCACACTGTATATTTTATGAGCATGTGAAACTAATGAATTTATCTTATTTAAAGATAAGGAGCTTAGAATACCTTTTATACGTTTTGGTGGATATTGGTTGAAATTTCAGTTTCATATACAGTACATGAATGCAATTTTCACCAAATTGTGATGGATGAAAACAATTCAAAATAGAATTCAAGCTTGTGAATGTTGTTATCGCAAGAAAATAAAATTGTTTTCAAATAAAATCAGAGATTGACAATTAAGCAACATAAACATTTTGAGGTTCATAAACCCTCTGCTCACTCATATGAAATGTTGCTTGAACTTTAATGATTTTCGAAAAGAAATATATTTTATAAGTAAAATACAAACAATTATAGCATAGCTTGCGAAGCAAAATTGGAGCAAGTAAAAGGCCAAATTTTACATCCGTATAGAAAACCCGTTATACGGTATTTTCATTTATATGTAGACTCAATATATCCAACTAAACTTAAAAAAAGACTCAGTTGAGACTGACACATCTGTTTCATATTTAGAATTTTTAATGACTGTAGACAACTAAGGCCAACTAATGCTTTTTAAAATCGTACTACAAACAAAACATTTCCTTGTTCAAGTCGTAACATTCCGCTATCACCTGTATATGGTGTTTACCTCTCCTAACTCGGGCAATTCTTAAAAGAATCCTCTGAAAATGATCAACTTACAAACCGATTGTTCGTTATTTCCATATATTTCATTTCTTTCCTTGATTCTATCAAACTGACACAACGGTATTTTTATGACCCAGGCTGTTTGTTTCCTTTACTTTCATACTTGTATATTTACAAACACGGCATATCAAAAGGACGTAGAGTACAGGGTGTACTTTACTTACATACAGTACTTTTAAATTTACTTGTCTTACAATTTACAGATGATTTGAATTAAATATATCAGATCCACGTTAAAGTCGCGTATTAAAAGATTGAGGGGGCAATATGAAAACCATCTATCCTTCTGTGTTCAATAATCCAGAAGTGAAAAAAAAAATTAGATAGATTACATGATCAGTACCTACTGGTCACTGCCGACAAAACAGGTATAAACATTGTCTTCGTTTGTAAGCTCATTATATAAATTGTATTTTAAAAGAACTTGGATTTAATTCTACAGGTGGTAATCATACTTATACTCTTACTTTCCTTTCTAAGGAAGAAATTCTTCAAAATCATATGTCAGTTTTAAATATTTTTAATATTCCAAAGAGCCAAAATGAATTTGATCTACCCTCTATATATTGGATTCCGAAACTTCATAAACATCTTTACAAACAAAGATACATTGCGGGTTCTAGTAAATGTTCAACCAAGCCTCTTTCGTTACACCTCACTAAGATATTGACAGTAGTGAAGGAAAAACTTCAAGAGTACTGTGCAACAATATATTCAAGAAGTGGTGTGAATCAGATGTGGATGCTCAAAAATTCCAAAGAACTATTAGACATTTTGAAATCACAGAATTTTACCAAAATCAACAGCTTAAAAACTTATGACTTTTCAACTTTATACACAACCATTCCCCACGATAAATTAAAGTCCACGCTTTTTGATATCCTTGACAGCTGCTTTTTCAATAAAAATGGAACTCGTAAATTTACTTACCTGGACACTGGTCATTTGCAAAATCATTTTGTTAAAACACATTCTGATTGCACTGTGGCAACGCATTTTTAAAAAAATTACGCACTTTGAAAATTTTTTTCAAAGTGCGTTAAAATTGGGACAAAACCAAGGCACTTTGAAAATTTTTTTCAAAGTGCGTTAAATTTGGGACACATTCAACGCACTTTGAAAAATTTTTTTCAAAGTGCGTTAAGAGTGTACATTAACATTTTTTGTCATGGTGACATTTTACGCACTTTGAAAAAAAATATGTATAAAACAAAAATTTTAGACGTAGATTTTAGTTATTGAGAGAATCAATTTGTAATAATTATACCTTTCGAAAAACCTTTTCATTTACATGTACATATGTACTCATTTAACCTCACTGAGAACTAGGAGAAGACTAGTAGAAGGTCTCTCATGTTAACTTTTTTCTTATACATTGTACATAGCCGTCGGTACCAAATTGAAAGAGGGCCCCCCTTCAAGGTTAGCCAAATTTTCAATACCTATATTATGTGTATCTTTTCAAAACGTTTGTGTGCCGAAGCCCCCCCCTTCCGGTACCGATGCCTATGTTACACCCAAATATATGTATTTGCATAACTGGTATGACGTTAAAAACTTTCAATAAAATCTAGGTTAAATAAAATGCATGCAAACTGAAAAAAAATAATTATAGTTAAACATTTAAGAGAGAAAGAATTTTCAAAGCATGGAAAAATCAAAATTGCTCACTTTCACATCCTGAAGTGACCTCATCACCGAAGAGTTATCAAACAGGTTCAATTGTTTATCATACCTAAGATTTGCAAGAAAATTGACCAAGCCATAAACATTTTTTCAAAGTGCGTTGATTTGGTCCCAATTTTAACGCACTTTGAAAAATTTTGTCAAAGTGCGTAATTTTTCAAAGTGCGTTATAACAATGCACACACAAGTACTCTGAAGTTGACATCAAAGAGATGCTTGAGTTTCTGATTGACAATATCTATGTGGTTTTTGGAGACCAGGTATTCCAACAATCCATTGGAATTCCCATGGGTAGCAATTGCGCTCCTATTTTTATATTCATATGAAGCAGAATTTGTGCAAAATTTTATGCGTGAAAAGAAGAAAACACTTGCTGTGGCCTTCAACTCGACATTTAGATATATCGACGACGTATTAACAATGGTAATTTCCATTCCTACGTCGATACGATATATCCTGGTGAGCTTGAGATAAAAGATACCACAGAGTCTGACACATCTGTTTCATACTTGGATATTTTACTTGAAAAAGACGTTAGTGGTAATCTAACAACCAAGCTATATAATAAACGTGATGACTTTAACTTTTCTATCGTCAACTTCCCTTACTTATGCAGCAATATACCTTCATCACCTGCTCTCAGTTGATTCGATACGCAAGAGCATGCTCGACGTATGAACAATTTCTAAAACGAGGCAAATTATTGACAAGCAAGTATGAAACAAGAATATCAGAAGTCTTGTTTAAAGTCATCATTTCATACGTTTTATGGTCGATACAATGACCTTGTCATTTATCAATTTACACCTTACAATTTATCATTGAATCAAATGCTGACTGGCGTTTATCATACTTATTGTTAGTCCATTATTTATACACTGAATTGACGACGGATTTTCCGTTATTTCCTGGTCATGACAAGGGGCACATGGCGGGTGTGACCGGTCAGCAGGGGATGCTTATTCCTCCATGGCACCTGATCCCACCTCTGAAGTTTCGGAGGTCCGTGTTTGCTTTGTTCCTATTTTGTATTGTTTTATGGACTTTGAGATTAAATACCGTTCGTATCTCCATATTCTTCTTGGGAATTTCATTAGCTAACTTGAATGAAATAATTATGAACAAGTTATCCAAATATAACTAAAAGTTATTGCTGAATTGAATAAGTCCTCAAATCAGGCTTGATTTGATTTTTTATACAGCGAGTTTTGTTCACCTTAATATGATTCCACTGAATTTGGAATCATAGAAACAATTTTGCAAAAGGGAGATATGTATATTTGCATCTCATAAAAGTAAAAATTTAATGAAACTGAAAAACTTGGATAATAATTAAAAATTATATTTAATCCAATCTTATATCATCAGATCATGTTATGAATTCGGTCCTTCATGACTAATTTTAAACGTTACATCAATACTTACTAATATCGCAGTACTATGGATTATGATTCATCACGACCATTGTCCATTGAAATTTGTTTTATGTCTTGCTAATTGTTCTTGTTGATGACTTTTGTTAGATTGACGATGGATTTCTTCAAAATTTCCCGATCATGACAAGGGAACAAACGAGGGGTGTGACCGGTCAGCAGGCGATGCTCATTACTCCACTGCACCTGATCCTACCTCTAAAGTTTCGGAGGTTCGTAGTTGCTCTGCTCCTTTGAATTGTTTAATGGACTTTTGAGCCTCAATACTGTTCAATATCTCCATTTATTTCAAAAATATTTTCCATTTTATTAAATTTATCAGTAGTTTTCCTGTGGACAATGGGATAAGATGTAGATTCAAATGAAACAACTATACATGATTAATGTAAATTAGACAATGACAAAAACCAAACCCGAAACATTCTGAAAATGAAAGCAGAATTCAATCTGTGTATTCAGGTTCGGTTCCAAGTACACACAAAGTACTTCAATTAAGTAAAGACATGTATACTTAATTGTTTACCTTATTAATTAAACTGAAAGTGCAATAGATCTACAGTATCAGATACATCATAAAAACTCCGAAACCCTTGTATGCTTCATGGATTATTATAGGTGTCAATGCTAGGATTTCAGGGCTTTTCTAGGAAGGGATGTTTATAACAAAGGGTATAAAAACTCGTACAGCACACAAGGATATAGATGTGAGCTTATAAGAGATCATATTTAAAATGTTTAACAACAACGAAGCAGAAATGTCAAATACTGCAGAAGTATTCGAATTTTTTGGGTATGGATCTCTTCTATGGAGGCATGATTTCAAGATTGTTGAGAAAAAGCATGATTTTATAAAGGGTTTCCATAGAAAGTTCTGGCAGGAGAATAAGACTCATCGTGGAACAGAGGATAAGGTTTTTTTTCAGTAGATAACTCTCTGGCATTTAATCTTAATATCTCTTCACAAAATAATGGTTAGATTCTTTAATTGATGATTTATCAAATCATAATTTTAATTAATTTTTTAGCCTGGAAGAGTTGCAATTTTGTATGAAACAAAAGAAGATGTGAGTAACATACGGGTTCTTTCTAAATCCTGAAAATGAAAGATAATCAACCTAATTTCACGGTTTACTCAATGGAAAAAATCTACTTGAAAAAAAATCATTTCTTTCTGATGTTATTCTAATGTTTTAATGTAGGATGTTCTGTGGGGTGTGAAGTTTACAGTAGTTGGATCCGCCAATATTCAGGAAGTCAAGGAGAAACTGAATGAACGGGAGACAGTGCTAGGGGGATACACGTCATTTCACACCACGTTCTACAACGAAGATGGCGTCCACTCTAATGTTCTTGTTTTCACTGCTACTAAGGAAAACGATCTCTATGTGGGACCCAAGTCGGAGAATATGGAAGAAGACGTAGAACACATCGCCAAGCAGGTAGTTGGAGCAACAGGGAAAGCGGGAACCAATGCTGAATACGTCATAAAACTGGACTACTTTGTGCAGCGTTTTTTCCCAGAAGAAGATGATGAACATTTATCTTTACTCGCTGCAAGAGTGAAAGAAAAACTAGGAAATCGATCCGACAGTGTTCTCAAGTATTTGGAAGAAATGGAAGACTATTTTGCACGTATGTTGATGGATACTCGGCAAAAACGGACGATGGCTTCGTTTCAAAACGCATGAGTAAGATATATCCATGTATCCCAAAGCATTGTAAACGTGTTCATTTTTGAGGTTTTTATTTAAATATTTTATTTTTAATGCATGGTTAATTTTTGTAACTCAAGAAAATGCATAGCATTTTAATAAAAATCTCATATTGTAAGTAAGTAAGATTCTTGTTATTCATAATGCCCATATTTTAAACATTTTTTGGACTGTAACTTAGATGAGTTTATCGTACGATAAAGATTAAAATCTAATTCAAAATGAAGTAGAAATATGATTGATTGATTGATTGATGTATATACCATGATTTTTTTCTTTATGTTTTTTTTATTCTTCTTGATGAAAAAATATATGTTGAACTGGAAATTCATTCAAAGTTTCTTTGGACAAAGTTAACAGCAGAAATTTAGAAAACTCACCATTCGTTATTATCTTTTCATTTTTCAATAATTCAAGATTTATGAGAATGAATTGCTTTTTTTTTTTTTTTTTTTTTGCTTTTTTGTTATTGAATATTTATGTGAATTAAAGCAGTGAAAATGTTTCGCTTTCTATCATTTTGACACACTTTGGACGAAAACAATATCTTTGTCAAAATATGCTTTCGTTCACTTTGGATAAGCTTCAACAAAAATATAACTTTATATATACTTTCCACAAACTGCGTATTTATTACACCTACATTTAACCAAAAGTTTACCTGGGTATTGTTATACTGAAATTCATTTTATTAAAGGGGTATGCTTATTTGTTTTTATAAATAAAATTGGGAAATTTTACAATCATCAAATCGGGAATTTTTATGCGATAGAAAAATTAAAATTGTATGAAGATGTTATGATGAAGTTTCTCTTCTTGTTTAAAAGCCATGGTAGTTTGGAGCTATTGGTTCATTCATCTATTTAAAGTATAAATAGAGCCATTGATAGTGTAAGACTTTTACATAAAGAAATCTTAGTCACCTTGTTTGATGAAGAAGTTAATGAGATTTTAAACAATAAGTCCGTAGTCTGTTTAACGGAATCCCTATGAGTATTTCAGAATTGGAAATTAAGAACAGGGATTGCTGCATTCATATAAATGACTTTTGGAAAGATAAGGGACAGAATAACATTTGAAGCAAATGATCTGAACATATCAATAGACTTTATAGGTAGTCGTGCCAAGCATGCGTATCCAAAATAAAGGTAAGAAGCAAATCATTATCTATGTTCGTCTTGAATAGGAAGTTATTTTTTTCTAGGAAAAATTTAAATCAACGTTGTATATTTCTTACCTGCATGTGACGTGTTTTCGTGATAGATCGAATATGAAAGTCAGCGCAGGATATGTCATTTAAAGGTGAAGCTCTGTGGGGTGTGGTCTGGGACCATAAGCATTTTGCTTAATCCTATATCTATTGACAAGAAAAAGTGTGATTCTTGAATCGGAAAAAAAAGCCTGCCTCCCTCGAACTCAGTAAATGTACAATGTTTCTCTTCACAAAGAAACTCTCTGCATCTTTGAATCAAATTCTATCAGTGCTTTACAATAATAATGCCCTTCAAGTTGATAAATTGTATTTCTTTGTTAAAACTGTTTATTTGATTTATTTGACTTTAGTAATTATTATTCCCTTTTATGACCAACGACTTTTAAATGTAAAACAAATCCCAATTTAAATTAAAGAAACCCAAGCTTTTTTGATACCATAAACAGCTGTTTTTTAAAATGAAAATGAAACTCATAAATACATTTACTTCATCACTGGTCATTTGCAAAATCCTTTGTTGAAATAAACATTTTAAGTCTACACACTAATACATGTACTCTAAAATTGATACATGTATACCGGTATTAGAAAGATGGTTGGGTTTCCAATTGACAACATTTATATATAGGTTTTCGGAGTTCAGATCATCCAGCAATCTGTTTAAATTTCAACTGAGTTCCGTAGACCTATTTTTGAATTCATATGGAGTAAAAAAAAATTAAAACCTACACGAGAAAAGCAAAAGACCTGCTATGACTTTCAACTCGACATTTGATACTGGGTATATCGACGATGTATTATCAATTAACAATTCTATTTACGTCTTTTTTAGTAAAATACTAGTATGCAAATATGATACAGTTGTACCAGGTTCTGCGATTTAAAGTTCACTTAAATATACCAAGTCAACATAGTTCTGTTAAGAGAGAATACGTTTCGATAGACTCGATATACATGTATCTAAATGTCAAGTTGACGGCCACAGCAAGTGTTCTCTTTTCATGGCTGAAATATATGAAGATAATGTACAGTATTCAAGCTCAAAGTCCATCAAACACAACAAAATAGGAGCAGAGCAAAAACGGACCTCAGAAACATCAGAGGTGAGATCAGGTACCATGGAGGAGTCAGCATCACCTGACGACTGTCACACCAGCCGTGTGCTCCTTATGGTCGGGAAGTAAAGGGAACACCGTTGTCAGTTCAGTGTGTAAATAATGGACTAACAATTAGTATGAAAAACGTCAGTCAGCATTTGACTCAATTGTTTTTGCTGACAAGGTCATTGTATCGACCATAGAACTTACGAAATGATGACTTTAAACGAGACTGCTGAAATTGTTGTTTCATCAGCTTGTCAATAATTTACCTCGATTTAGAAATTCTTTTCTTCTTTTCACGTATACGATTTTAGACAAATTCTGGTTCGTATGAATACAAAAATAGGTCTACAAATAACGGCGCGCAATTGGTACCCATGGGAATTCCAAGAGATTGTTGGTCTCTAAAAACCACATAGATATTGTCAATCATAAACTTTATATCTTTTTGATGTCAACTTCAGAGTACTTGTGTGTACAATCAGAATGTTTTCACAAAATAATTTTGTAAATGACCAATGAAAAGTTAAGTAAATTTCGAGTTCCTTTTTTATTGAAAAACCAGCTGTCGATGATATCAAAAAGCCCGGACTTTAATTTATCGCGGAGAATGGTTGTGTATAAAGTAGTTAATTTTGGTAAAATTTTGTGCATGATTTCGAATTTTCCAGAGATTCCTTGAAATTTTTAAGTATCCACATCTGATTTACAACACTTCTCGAATATATTGTTGCACAGTACTCTTGAAGTTTCTCTTTCACCACTTTTGAAAATATCTTAGTGAGAAGGGGAGACTTGGTTGAAAATTAATTAAAACCTACTATGTATCTTTGTTTGAAGTTTCAGAATCCAATATATAGATATGGTAATTCAAATTAACATTGGTTGTTTGGGATATTAAAAATATTCAGAACTGACATATAATTTTGAAGAATTTCTTCCATAGAAAGGGAATTATGAGTATAAGTTGGATTACCACTTGTAGGCATACAATTCATATAATGACCATTACATTCAAAGACAGTGTTGTTACCTGCTTTGTCAGCAGTTACCAGTACTTACTTATCATGTAATCTACTTAATTCCTTTTTCACCTCTGAATTGTTGTCAACAGAATGATATAAAATGCTGAAAAGGCACATGGTTTGATGTTATTGATTATAGTAAATGCTTTTAGATTTTCGAAAAGTTCCTTTGAGTTTTTAAGTCCCCACATCTGATTTACGCCACTTCTTGAATATATTGTTGCACAGTACTCTTACGCGTAGAGTTTTTCCTTCGTTGCTGTTAATATTTTAGAAAGAAGTAAAGAAAGGGGCTTGATAGAACATATACTGGAACCCGCTATGTATCTTTTTCCCCTTCTTTTTCCTTTCTTCCTTTTTTGGTAAGGATTCTTATAAAGTTTAGGAATCCAGTATATATTTGGTAATTCAAATTTATTTTGATTAGTTTGAATATTTAAAAACATTTAAAACTGACATACGATTTTTAAAAAAAAAAATCTTACAAACAAGGCTGTTGGAGTAAGTTGGGTATCAATGTCCTTTTAATTAGTGTAATTCCTCCATGACTTAATTTTTTTTAATAAAATATATAAACTTAATGCATCATTTCTATTTAAAACCTCCTTTATGGATACCTACCACCTGAGATCTGGTTCCTTGGACGCCATTTAATCTTAGTACATATAATTTGATTTTACCAAAATGTCTTCCAGAATTTTATTTCGTTGCTGATTGGATATCAGGACTTTCAAATATTTCAAAAGTTTGAGTAACAATAACTGTTTTTCTACTTATCTACCCAGAGGAAATGCTTTTTAACCATTTTTTCCCGATGGAATTGAAATAATTTGAAGCTAACTGTTCACTAGATATGTTGACATTTTACAAAAAGATAAGTATTTCAAAAATATTAAAATATGATCTCTATATATTTATATGTACAGCTCAACGCACATTTTAAAGTCACGTGGTTTTTCGCTTAACGAGGCCCGATCTAGTTGAAAATTACGAAAACGGAATGATGAAAAATTTCAATTCTTGGAAATATACTTGTATGTTTTATGCTTAGAAAAATTAGAATGAAATTTTGTTACCTTGCCTTTATTGTAGTGAAATGGGGGCACTGTCAAGATATGGACCATTTTTCGTGTTTTTATACACAATTACATACTAAAACTATTCAATAAACAAAGAAATTTACAAATTTAAAAAAAAAATACATGATGAAATTCTTTGTTTTTCACATATATCATGCAATTTTCCTTCTTCTTATAAATCATGAAAAGAAAATTGGAGGTAGCCTTTATTGCAGTGAAAAGAGGGCATGTCAAAACACAAAATTTGGATTTATTCTATCCAGCTTCGTATTTTATAGGTCGCAATGGGTTTACATAACGCCAACAAACGATTACAATAATGTATTAGTTTCTAAAAAAAATTAATAATTCTTACATTATGAAATAATTTTCTAGCCATGCTTTATTTTTCTCTTAACACGCGACGTTGTTATACGTGGAAAAGGGGTAGAGGGAGGAGGGGGGGGGGGGGGGTAACGGCGACAAAATTGCAATTTTTACTGATATCATGTAATATATAGAAAAATAAAATATTTCGGCGGTTCAATTTAAATGATTTAGACTTATTTTACTTTTTAAAACTGAAGATAGCCCATGCATATTTAAGTCCGCAATAAAAAGAGTGTGCATAAACACTTCAACATGTTCAAAGAGAAAGACTAAAATCGTTTACTTTTAGATGCAGTGATTGTTTTTTAAACTCACAAATTGAAATAAAACAGAATAAAATTAATGAATCTGTACCAAAAGATTAATCCCTCAAAATTTATTAGGTTCCAAAGTTGTTTATTAATTTGAATATTTAAAAAAAATAATAGAAATGCCAGCTTTCAATGCATATTCTATAGAGTTACCAGGTAAGCAAGATCAGCGAAACATTTTAGCGCAATTTGATGTCAATGTAACTGTGACGTTATTGTGTTCAACTGTGACGGCAGTCAAGGGTATTATGACGTGCCTGAGTCGACGCTGCGTTAAAACGTATGCGCAGATCAAGTAGATCGGGCCTCGTTAAATTAAGGTCACATTTTTCTTGCATTAAAACTTACATTTATCGAGTTTCAGTACGAGACATAACCCTTATATTAATAAATATTTCATTTTTATGTGCATATTCTCTTAAATCATTAGCTTAATTTTTTAAAGTCAATGTTCTTAAAGGGAATTTGTTTCTATATTGTATGATGTTTTAAAAATGTGTATGATTCTATCATAGGTACTAGTATTTACAAATCAACTAATCGAACTTTCTTTTTTACTATTTGGTTGAAATGTTCAAATTGACTTCTTACAGTTGAGTAATTTTTTAAGTACTTTGCACATTTTCCATACTTGTCTTGCTTTTGTCGAAATGCAGAGCCGAAAAATGACAAAACTGCATAAAGAAATCATGTGAAAGGATAGAATAAAAAAGTATTATTTGTCTTTAAACATAGTTAATTGTAAATACATGTATTGAAAAGAAAATTCTTTTACATTTATGGTCTGAAACTTTGAAATTTTGCTTTGGAAGGTATCTTTCATGATGCAAGATTTCGGGAAGTTAACCTGAAAAAATGTCTTTTTTTTAATCATGGAAAGCAGTCGGACAGATGAGAAATACTTCTATTATCTTGCGCCTTAGTGTCATATTAATTTACAGAAAATATAGAAGTTACATGAATTGCACTGTTTCTGTATTAAGACAAGGCAAAAGTATGCTTTAAAATGAACAGATACAAAGTAGGTTGCATTTGATGAGAAACCATTAAAAAACCATTTGGAAACTCTCATAATATTCAAGAGCATATAAAAATTCTACCGATTATTATGTGTGAATTATGTTTAAAGTAATGAAATATGATCAAAATAAAGTTATAAATCATTTTTAAAATACATTTTGCTGTCACAGTACACAATTTTGCATTATAACAATGTGACCTTAATTTGTGCGAAAAGCCATGTGAGTTTAAAAAGTGCGATGAGCTGTACTTATTTGACGACAGCTCGGTATCGGTGTTTGAAAGGATCACTTCATTATAAATAGGGATTTGACCTATAGGACCGGGCTTGGTTTTTTTCTCCACAAAAACCTCGTTGATTTCCGTTCTGATTAATGGCATTAGGCTGAATACATATAACAATTTGTTTTTTCCTAAATCTTTTTTCAGCTAGTAGAGGTATAAGGAACCTTTTCATTGAATTCCTGAGTTTTTTTTTTTAATCTCAAAATGTAATAATTTATATTTGTCTTTACTTCTCAATGCATAATGGTAATGTAACTTACTGCCTCTGAAATTCTATTCTTTATGTCTAAGCAATTTTATCCGTGAATGTAGTAAACCATTTCATTAATGTGTGCAATTATATAGGCCTAAATCAAATCCGAGGAGGAGTTACTGATATGTGTGTAGCCAAAATCAATGTTATTAAATTCTAAGGAATATACATAGGCGTCGGAACCGGGGGGGGGGGGGGGGGGGGGCTAGGGGGGGCTTGGGAGTGTGTCCAAATATATACTTAGTATAGACATTGAACATATCTGCGTAGGTTTAGCCCCCCCCACTTTCCACAGATACGTCTTAATATAGGTTAAAATTGGGGAAAGTGGTGGTCTTCGGAAAAAAATTTTGGTACTGAAGTTGGAACCTAACAACCCCCCCCCCCCCCCCCCCCCCCCCCCCCGAAATAGGATTTTCGTTTTTGGACAATGGACATTTCCATTTCTTTCTTTTCTTTTTTTTTTTTTTTTTGCTTGTCAGGTTTTTTTGAAGGTACAATTTTTTTTTCCATTAGCCCCCCACTTTCAATTTGCTTCCGACGCCAATGATATATACATCACAGCTCAATGCTGCCAAGAGTACCTGTATTGAGTAACACAGAGTGAGTTATTCTTGTCCTCGGAGAAAGTATGCTTATACTGAGTTTTGTTCCGCCTGACTGACAACTGTACATTGGATTTTTACGATTTGATATCTCTTTAAATAGTGTTTCTTATATTAAGAATGGGCATGCATAAAGGATATATAATTGAGGGAAAATATACGAGGCTATAAAAAATATTAAAATAGTCTTTGAAAAGGCGAAAATTTTAAACTTTGAGTGTGGTACCAGGCATTAAAATTTCCGACTGTAAAATGTTTTTTTAAAAGTCAGCGCATATTTCAACTGAGCTAGTCTTACTACAGCATTAATAGGTATGAATTTGAAGCAGATTATCAAAATCAGGTTTCCTTATTTTTTGTAGTTTTTTTGTGAATTTCGTGGGCTTTCCTAAAAAATTGCTTTTTAAATTGTGAAACCTATCAAAATATCACAATTTTAAATGCAGATTTTGATGGACTTCTAGGCCAAAATTCATGGAAAAATCAACGCTTTATCGGACAAAATGGTGTTTATGCCAACTTTGGAGGTTAATTGTAAAGTTGTAAATAATAAATTTTAGGTATAAAATACAAATTTGAAAAATTTAGACATGTATACGGTAGAGAACAACAAATAAAGATTAATTTTTCAATGTCACTTTTTCCGGGAAATTGTTCTCTCCTATAGGTCAATTCTTTTGTCAAAGCGAATACATCCTTTACATAAAAAGGATATAAGATTTTGTTTAAAGAATAAAGTTTTACCTTTTGGCTTTCTTTCGTGGTTCAACTTTATAAATTTTTAGTTATGTAAACTATATTTAATCTCGTATTTTTATTTTTTAGTTCACTTTTTTGTCAGTGAGTTTCGCAAAAAAAAAAAAGTGATTTATTGTTGATTGGGTATGGGGAAGACTCCCAAAACACTTTTATGTAGTAAATTTTTTTTTATTTTCAAATTTGGCGGAATATTTTGTTTAATTTTTGCTTTCCGATAGAATTAAAACAAACTGATACCAATTATTCGCCACTAAAAATGATCATATGCATGCTAGGTTTAAAATTTCAATTATTTTTTTCTTAACTAAGTAATCACCTTACAAAACCTCGAGTAATGCCAACAGTCTCAAACAGGTTCTGCCAGCAAATCACAAGTCACACCTCCACGTTTGGTAACCCTGGTAATACCTTTGGAGCTGAGTGACAGTGGCAAAAGGCGAAACTCTGTCGCCTTTAAATAACTGTAACTTGGGGCTAAGGGAAGGAAAACCCCAACAGAAAACCACTGACCCTCCGAGTCCAGGGGGGTTTCTGCATAGCTACCGGTAATCACCAAACATAGTAAAAGTTCAAATGATTACAGAAATCCAAAATACACTGAGCATACAGCGGGGGGGTTAGCCCTTTAACTGTGATAAATGATAACGCAGAGGACAACATGACGCAGGTGGATGAAAGCCATTTGGTAGTCCACAGGCCGAAGTCCCTATGCACACCCAAAGACAACATCTATATACGGAGTTGGAATGTGAGATCTATGTATATTACAGGAAAACAGCCCAGATAGAACAGGAAATGGATAGATGTCGGCTAGATATAATAGGACTTAGTGAAGTCAGATGGCCTATGAATGGAAAAACTACATTACAATGTGGGAATCTAGAGCTATACTCAGGACGAGAGGATGGATTACATCAAGAAGGAGTAGGAATAATGATGACAAAGAAAGCTAAGAAGTCACTGATGGAATGGAAATCCATTAATGAGAAACTGATGTATGCAAAATTCTATACATCAACTCTAAAGATAAGCATGATAGTAGTTTACTCACCAACAAATGAGAGCCCCGGAGAGACAAAGGAAGAATTCATGGAACAATTGCAGGAAGTTATTATTAATATTCCAAACCATGACACACTGTTCATTATTGGAGATTTGAATGCATAGGTTGGTAGCAACAACAATAGCCATGAAAGTGCTACATGGGGAAACATGGAATAGGATAACGAAATGAAAACGGAGAACGACTATTGGATATGTGCGAACTCAACAACTTAGTCATTACAGGAACAACATTTCCTCATAAATCAAGACACAAGATCTCCTGGATCTCACCCAATGGAAAGACGGAAAACCAAATTGATCATGTGCTTATTTCGAAACAACACAGAACATCTATCTTAGATACAGGGGCGATGAGAAGAGCCGATGCAAGAATTGATCATGAACTGATAAAGAGTAAGATCAGAATAAAATTGAAGAAACAAAAGCAAAATGCAGACATAGGCAGAAAGAAATATGATGTTACAAAACTACAACAGCTTGAGAAAAGGAGAACATTCATATTGGAGCTGAAAAATAGATTCCAAGTGCTAGAAGGATTGGAAAGTGTTGAAGACATCTGGGAAAATATGATACAAGGTTACAACGAGACAGCAGACAGCAAACTTGGAGTAAAAGAAAAGGAAGAAAAACCATGGATAAGTAGTGACTCTTGGAAGGTGATAGAAGAGAGGAAGCAGCTAAAACTCCAACTTACCAACAGCAGATCAGAAAGGTTAAAAAGAAGCTTAAGAAATAAATATTCAATTAAAGACAGAGAGGTAAAACGCAGTATGAGGAATGACAGGAGAAAGGGGACAGAAGACATGATTACAGAAGCAGAAAGAGCAGCTAGTAATGGGCATATGAAGACGGTATATGAGATAACTAGAGTGCTAAGTAATGTGAAGAAAGGCATGACAACGGCAATGAAGGATAAAGAGGGCAAGATCCTGAGCAGTCAAGATGAAAGAAAGAAAAGGTGGAAAGAGCACTTTCAATAAATATTAAACCGCCCACAACCTGAACATCAATTAGAAGTTGAAAGCGAAAAAGTATTAGATGAGATGGATACAGGTCCCATACGGAAAGAGGAAATTGTCAAGGCTATAAAGAAATTGAAGAATGGAAAAGCTGGAAGAGTAGCCCAGATAGCAAGATAACAGCTTTTTTTTTCCAAATGTTGGTAACCTTACGCAGGCCTACACAATTTTGCTCATCGGCCCAACGTTGATCCAACATGTTGGCTTATTGTTGGGCCAACGTGGGTATAATTGTATGACAACTAACAGCCAACCTTAATAACTGGTTGGTTAGGTTGGCCCAACGTTGGCCCTTTGTTGAAATGTCAGATGGCATATTGTTGGGCCAACGTAGTTATTAGTGTATGCCAACTAACATCCAACCTTAACAACTGGTTGGTTAGGTTGGCCCGATGTTGACCCTTTTTTACAATGTCACATGGCGAATTGTTGGGCCGACGTAGTTATTACAAAGAAACATTTGCGATTGGTTTTAAGTGATTCTTTACATAAACCTATTTTATGACTGTTTAAAAAAAATAATACACAATTCAATCTGCATTCATAATGCAGACATGGACATGTTCAATGAAAACATTACTAATGATTCACTGTGAAAATATTTCATATACTAGTACATCAATTCAATCATAATTTACAAAATAAATTTTAAAATAGACAATAGAGGTAAATTATGAAAAGTTATCAATTCAAAGTTCTTAATCAGGGCTCACTTCCTTTATTACTGTTTTTGTTGTATTCCCGTTGTCGCCTCCCGTTTTCTTCAAAGGCATACTTTATACACTTTATGCATGGTCTTCGATTTCATTGTTATTTGCCACCACAACATTTGTTTTCCTTGCAGTCTCTGACTGAAAATATAAAATAGTTTGATATTAGAAACAATACATGCAATTACTGGTCCAACTTATGAATAAATATTACTTAAATTAAATCTTTTAATAAAGAGAATGATGTATTATACTATTAGTGCACCTTAATTTCCTTGACGTAATGATACAATCGTGTCTGTAATAGACAGTTAAGAATTAGATAGAAACAACTTAAAAGATGTTATTTAACCTTAACTTTCAGTGCTTGTGTGCAAAAACATGAAAAGAATGAATTCCGAATCAATTTTAACAGTTAACCTGAATAAATAACAATACATCGCTTCTAAACGCAGCTATAGTAAGTGTATAATCCACAAATTTAAATTTCACTTCTTCTTGCTTGCCCTGCATTTTCAGTCTATCACCACCTGTGAGCAATTGAATCTGACAGCTCACTCCACAGTTTGGTGTTAACTCGCCAACTTTTAGCGAACGCCTAACTTTTGTTTCAATTTAATGATAAAGCTGTGTCATTTTGATTTATGTATGCTTCATTCGCATCCTGTTCCTGAGAACTTATTCAGTCTTTTCTAAATTCTCATGAATACAACGCTCATGAAAAAATTCATAATTTCAAGGGTTTTTTTCAAATAAATAAGCATGCATGTGCACAATTCAAAAAATATAATAAAACACTCTTTGGTGCTGTGATCACTTAAGTTCAAAGTTAAAATGTTGAAAATATCAGATCTAAACAAAAACAGTCATCCATTTAAAAGCATGAACATAGAATATCCTCTTAATTATTTTAGAATGTGCATCTAAATTAAAACTTAATTAGAACCAATGTTGTCCCAACGTAAAGCTCAGCAGCTAAAATTGACACCACCATTTAGTTGGCAGTATAATAATTGGGCCAGCGTTGGCCAAATGAAATTTCCATCTTTAAAACACCTAAACAAAAGAACATTCGTGCTAACATCGGGCCAACGTTGGGCCAACATACTACTACCTTGATAAGACATTTTTAAGGGTGTATTACAAACATTGGGCCAACGTTGGGCCAACATACTACTACCAATTTGATAAGAAACTTTTTTAAGGATGTATTACAAATATTGAACGTGGGCCAACATACCAACTTGATAAGACGCATTCTTTATAGGTGTATTACAAACATTGGGCCAACGTTGGGCCAACATCAACATCCCTCCTTCCTTGGGAAAGTAAAGTGAAGGGAAGTTGCTAACGTTGGACCAGCGTTGGGCCAACATAGGAATTCTGTCATGGTCGAGAAGGTTGGCATGGTAACATTGGTCCAACGTTGGCCCAACGTTAGCAACTTCCCTTCACTTTACTTTCCCCCAACGCCAACCATACAACCTTTTGCCGATGTTGGCCCAACATAGTCTTGCTATCTGGGAGATGGGATAACAGCTGAAATGTTAAAGGCAGACACAGAGACAACAGCAAGATATTTGGAAAAAACTATTTTCAACAATCTGGAGACAAGAAACTATACCATCGGTTTGGAGTAACACTTTTGTCTGTGCCACGCAAAGTATTCTCCAGAATAGTAATACAAAGAATACAAGATGGAGTGGAAAAACAGCTGCGTGAGAAACTTCAGACGAGGGAGGAGTACAACAGAACAACTATTTACACTCCGTATAACATCATAGAATATAGCTGCAGATCTGTAGCTCTCCGAAAAAATATATTGACAGACCGAAGAGCTACACAGTGCTACCCATTGAGAAAACTGTATATCTATTGCGCACAAAAAAGTGCGCTCGGTTCTTGGTTAATTCTTCTAAATTCTTACCTCAGTTGCATAGAATGGAAGATTTCAAAAAAATTCTCTCTTTTCTATCAAGTACTCTCGTAGTTGACATCTGAACGAAGCATATTGGACTGAATTATCTTTGAAACCAAAATGGCAGTATAAATAAGCAAAATATTCGATGATTACAATATCAGGGCCAGGAGGACTATTAACAACAATTATGAGGAATGTTTTGTTGTGGAAAGAGTCAAAGAATATGTTAGGAACACATGGTTAGTAATATTTTGAGATTACAGTTTTAAAAACAAGGAGAAATAAATCGAGAACCGAGCGCACTTTTTTGTGCGCAATAAATATACAGTTTTTTCAAGACTGAGCTCTCCGGTCTATCAAAATATATTTTTTCAGAGAGCTACAGATCTGCAGCTACATAGAATATTAATGCACCGAATGGAAATCAGCATTGTCTGTATATTATGTTGGCTTTGAAGTTTGAAAAGGCATTTGATTCCATTCACAGAGAGAGCCTTTGGTCTATCATGAAGTTTTATGGCTTTCAAACAAACTGGTCAGAATGGTGAAACTCCTATATGAATCATTCCAATGTGCAGTCCTGGAAGATGGAGAAGAAACGGACTGGTTCCGGGTAACAACAGGAGTGAAGCAGGGTTGTACAATGTCTGGATTCCTATTTCTGTTGGTTTGGATTTACCTGGATTTATCTGTGAATACCTGATTTAGCTAAATGCATTCTTAAGAGGTTTAATACAATTTTACAAGCATTTTATTAAAATTATATATACATTTATGAGAAAATATTGGATTTTATTTAATAAATTATTAATATTTGTTTAATATTTATTTATTAGTTGAAACCAATTGGGGCGAATCCACTCGGAACGAACAAGTGATTGGAGCGAAACCACTCGGCGCGAACACGTAATAGGAGCGAAACCACCCGCATTCGATTGAAAGATCAGCACTGGTTCTCTGCCCTTGATTCCAGTCGCTGCCGCTAGGAATTTGGTTGGTTTTTCAGGGCAGCAATCGCATCATCTCGGGTCTTTCCGTCAGAGGTCGGAAAAACAACCTCGAATGTATTAACATCAGCGGATGTTAAAAATTTATACATTTCCTATTTATTCAAATATAGCAGAGACGGAGTTAGAAGTCACTTCTATAATATATTTTAGGTAATATCATTATATTGAATAAAGTTGAACTCCATATTCCACAGATAAAAGGTCTTCATGCATTTATTTCAAAGATCGTGAAAAGGGAGGGTTGTCATGGCGTCTACCATATACATTCGAGGTCGTTTTTCAGCTAGTCGGAAAGGCCCGAGAAGGTGCGATTGTCAGGGCAGCTCGTCGGAGATTTACGGAGACAGCCGAGTGTCTGGTTGAACGAGACTGTGAACGGGCGCAAGCGCCCTGAAAAACCAACCAAATTCCTAGCGGCAGCGACTGGAATCAAGGGCAGAGAACCAGTGCTAATCTTTCAATCGAATGCGGGCTCGTCGGAGATTTACGGAGACAGCCGAGTGTCTGGTTGAACGAGACTACCCGTTAACCAATGTCAGGGTACCAGTCTATTGAAAGATGTCATTCATATCGCAATCGCATCATCTCGGGTCTTTCCGTCAGAGATCGTTTTTCCGCTAGTCGGAAAGGCCCGAGAAGTTGCGATTGATTCATATCGGTGATCTTCAAAATAATAAAATGAAGTATTTTCTTTCTACTCAAGATATATATCTATTATAGGATGATTTCCTTTCTTTGTTATCAATAAAAGTTTGTGAATTTGTTGTTTTTTTTTTAATCTATATCCTTAGAATGTTTTAGACATATTGATTACGTCGTCTGCATTAAAGCGTGTGCAAGACCTTGATATCGAACATACACGTAACGCACTGGAATTTGGCTTGAATTGCTTGATAGGTAATTTTGATAAAATAACTAATGTGCTACTTAAGAAAAACTGAATTTTTACACATTTTTGAACTTTAGGAATATTTTAATTGTTAGGCATAAGGAACTTATGATTTACACTTGTATTTTGATTAAATAATTCTTTACCAAATGAGATCGCGATAAAAATGAACTTCCGGTTTGTGTTCGTAGTTATAACGTTTGATTTTGCATTTGAAGATTTCACAACAGTTACGCTCACGCCATTTACACGCTGTGTAACTTACTATTCGGCATTGCTCAAGTATCTATGTTTAACAATCTCCCTTATACTTTTTGAATATATCCGACTTGAGCAAGTCTACTTAAACGCACAAAGCTCTGAATATTGTTTCATATCTTTCAAATAGAACAGAATGGGTACACGAGTATATATCGGAAGACTCTCACATCATGCCAGGGAACGAGATGTAGAAAGATTTTTCAAAGGATACGGACGACTTAGAGATGTCATGCTGAAAAATGGATACGGATTTGTGGTATTTATTTCTTCATTTCTTTTCATGAAATTTGAATTTAAATTTTCACAATTGAGAACAACATGTACCAATTAAATATGTTTTTTTTTTTAATAATAATGACAGTGTAAAGAATAATTTTAAGGTGTTATTTCAAACTTGTCTTAAATTTTATTTGGTTTCAAGGAAGAAGGATTAAGGAATGCTAAACTGAAAGTGTTTAGATGTAGATTATTGATTGCAGGAGTTTGAAGATTATCGTGACGCTGATGATGCAGTGTATGAATTGAATGGGAAAGATCTTGCTGGTGAAAGGTAAAATACCTCAACTTAAAAGCTTTTCGATGCTACATTTTAACAGGATCAGAGTTCTTGAAATCTTTTCTCCGCTGTCAGTCATTTGGACTGATTGCCGTTGGAAGTTTGTCAGTCCATACGGATTTCTATCAGTCCAAAAAAAAATCAGTAAAAAGATGAAAACTGTATTTGAATTTTATTATCAATACATTTTACACCCTGCGTCAATTATATACACACTGCACACGTCATGCCATATAACAATTTTCGTTGATTCTCATGGGGGGTCGATTTTCTTCGCAAGCTTTTAATTTAGTTCGAATTTCTCACCTGGCTTACTCTAGCACCATCAAAAATTTGTTAATCAATCATAGTTTTAAGTTTGGTACTTGCGTTCATCAAAGAAGCCATTACGAGATACTGAAAAGCATTTAACAGATTATGATCGGTTGGTTATAGGGAATTCGTACGAAATTTAGTCAGATTTTCGCAAGTTGCTCTCTCAACATCTACCGGTCATTTGGACTGACACAGAATGTAAAGTTATCTGTCCTTAGTTGTTTTTATCGGTCTTGCCAACAGGACCGAAAGATTTCAAGAACTCTGGATGAAATTCTACAGTGTTTTTCACAAAGTCTATATTTTTAATTTAGAAGCAATCAGACATGTTTCTTCATTTGTTGCCCAATTTTTTTTTTAAAAAGAATGACTTAACAACTTTTTGATAATTATATTAATATTCCTGAAATATTATAAAGATCAACAATTTGCTTCATATTTTTTCTCAGTAAGAAAGCTGTCTCAAGTGTTACAGTAATCAACGTGAAAATTTTAAAGGTATTGTAATATAAAATACAGTTACAGTGGTTTTTTATTGTTGACAGAGTGATTGTGGAGCATGCTCGCGGAGGTCCCCGTGGCGACGACAGGAGAAACAGTTACCGTGACTACCCACCCCCCAGAGGAAGGAACCGTGGAGGCGGAGGAAGAGACAAGTGAGTACCTTTTTTGTAACAGACAAGTGAGTACATTTTATAACAGAAAGCGAGTACATTTTATAACAGACAAGTAGTACATTTTATAACAGAAAAGTGAGTACATTTTATAACAGAAAAGTGAGCATTTTATGAGGTTATAAGATATTTATTTCTGTTTTCATACTTTGAGAGAAGTAGAATTTTACCTGTTTTTATCTTGTTCTTTGGAGGTATGGGCCACCCACTAGAACTGACTACAGACTGATTGTGGAAAACTTGAGTTCTCGAGTTAGCTGGCAGGTATGTTGATTATTATACTATATGATCACATGTTCAGATTGTGGTCACATGTAAAAGTAGTACCAATGTTATATGTTTATGTGCAAGACATTAGCATTTATATTTATATATTGACTCTTCCCCGATTATATTCACTTAAATTCTTCATGGTTTTATATTTCATTTGCTCGAAGAGTAATTCCATAAGTATTTTTGCACATTTCACTTAAAAAGATTTGCAGAGAATTTTGGAAGAAATGTCGGCCTGCGCAGTAAATTATTCAATGTGAGGAGGCGATACCACACTGTTCCAGTGCTGTGTCTTTACAGAAGCTCATCTCTCTCTCCTCTGTGACTCGAAGAGGGCAGAATGCTTATAGTGAAATATGTCTTATATGGAATACTGTTAGATTTATAACTATCATGTGATATAACTTTGAATTAATGAAAGAATTAATGTATGTAGAATGTGATTTCTCCCAGATTTACAAATATAATAATATGTATAATGTATTTTCATAAAACCTCGCAGCCTCATAAGACGAGAGCGCTCGAAAGACGAGAGGGTCACATGATCAGGTTCAGGGTGCTATCCGGGTCGCTCGATTGTTAATACTTGAGGTCTGGCCAGGTTTTTCCTCCTCTTCCTCCCTCACGAAGGCTTAAATCCAGGCAATCCGCAGCCTTCACATATAATTGGCGGGGCAAGCCTCGGCACATTGGTCACAGGATATTGCAATTCTCTTTGGGTTTTTTTCCTGGTTGGTGACCACACCTCCTCTTACTCGGGCCCTGCCTTTGATTTTCATGGTAGATTGAAACTCTCAGGTCTACAATGAAAATAAGGCTTCCTGGTATCACTGTGAAGAAGAGCTGGGCAATCTTGCCACCAGGCTTACACTCTAGGGGGCGCTTTTAGGGTACAGAGTACAGCAGTGGAGGTAATTCGTTTTCCATGCTGTTTTAATGAGATCAGGGCTTTTAAGAAATTTTAATGTTGTACACAATTTGTTTCTGTCATGAGCAAAGTTAACAATTTGGTTTTGATGAAATTAAAGCAATAGCAAAATTATGATTCAAAAAATATTTACAGTTTTAATTAAATTGATGAACAGAAGCCCTGATTGAGTTATGTTTTGTATGGAATGGATAGATAACAATTGAATTTTTACTTTTCATGTTATAAGTACAAGTAGAGGGAAGGTGAGTTATAATGGTAAGACAGGGCATCTTATAATCAGAAACATCAATCATCCTCATCCTAGTGTGAACGCTGTTCTGTGGTCATTAATTCTCTTGTCTTTGGTTTGAAGGATCTGAAGGACTACATGAGACAGGCAGGGGAAGTAACTTACGCCGACGCCCACAAAGAACACAAGAATGAGGGGTGAGAAATAATATGAAATTTAAATAATAAACAATTAAAGGATTTTACATTTATAGTTATGCTGTTTTGCTTTGGATAGAAATCTTTTTTATGAACATTTTTCTTTTTAAGAGGTAACAATGTTTTCTCTAAATAAAACTGCTCATAGACATAAATTCTTTTTTAAATTTATTTTGATCATATTATTAAGTAATAAGCATAAATTTTTCTATTAATATATTGTTCTGTATTAATAGAATCGTGGAGTTCGCCTCGTATTCGGACATGAAGAACGCCGTCAGTAAGCTGGACGGGACGGAGATCAACGGGAGAAAGATCAAGTTAATCGAGGACAAACCTAAACGCAGCAGCCGACGTAGAAGGTAGGGGGCTCCCAGTAGGGATTTATATTGTGGATGTTTATGTATATTGTGTTCTAAAGTTTAGCTTAGTATTTTGGTATCATATATGTTTTGGATCACATTTGATGAATGTTCTTGTATTTATTTTGCAGTCCCTCTGTGGCCTCTGACTTGACTTTTGACTCCAGCTCCAGTGATTGGTCAACTGTTTCGTCCTTTTTCAGTGAGTCTGATAGGTCGAGTACCACGACTGATCGGTCCAGAAGTCCCCTCTCTTCACTGGCTGACACTGACTCTGTGGAGTCGTTTGATATTTATTTTAGGTGAGGTTGATCATCAGAAGCCGAGGAGTCCAGAGATTTCATGTCACCATCCCCCTCCAGCTGAAACCAAGCATCAAGAATCATCCATCACCATCATCTGTTGTAGATAAACTTTTGAAAAAATAAAAGAGAGAATTTGTAAATATTAAATCTAAAATATTATACATTTATCCTTTCAGTCCCAGCAGAAGTGCCTCCAGATCCAGGAGTAGGTCAAGGTCACGGCGAAGGTCAAGGTCAGCCAGTCGATCCAGGAGTCGCAGCAGAAGCCGTAGCAGTCGTAGCAAGTCCAAGTCTAAATCCAAGTCACCAGAGCGCAAGTCCAGGTCTAAGTCGCCCTCTAAGTCCAGATCTAGATCAAAGTCGCCCTCTAAGTCCAAGTCCAGGTCCAGGTCTCGCTCCAAAAGTCCGGTGAACAATGAGGACAAGGACGAGAATTAGGGAGTTCAAACCAGAGGGGCTCACATCTTTATAACTTCATGTATCAGAGTCTCCACAACAACTCTCATACAGCATTGTAGAGTAACGTTTTAATGTACAAAATTTGTTTATTAGATACGAGTATGTACATGTACATCACACTGAAACCAACTGTTTTAAAAGGGCTATAACTGAAAGGATAAGGCTTTCAGACGTATCAGACAATTCCCAGGTCCATGGAAGTATTGATATGGATTCATTTTGAAAATCCTCATTATTTTTTATAATTGCTTAGATTTCTTTGTTCATTTTAAAAGCTCATCATAAATGTATGTTTCATCAGTTCAGTACAATTTTGGCCATTCTTGGTGGCATTTCAGCCCAGCTTGACTGTGTTTTTTGCTTTATTAACTATCACATAAATAAAATTCATAATTAAACCATATTTTATGCATTTCCAATTTGATTTTCACCATGGTGTACATTGTAGACATAAACTATATTTTATTGCACCTTCATTTTGGTACTTGTATATAATGATTCAAGTCTACTTGTGTTAACCATTAGTTACTGGTTATCATGTTTCTGCAAGAATACTGTCTTTTTCCTGTTGATTAAATGTTGCTGCAATCAACAAGTCATAAATATTACTTTTTTGGTTACTTTTGGATTATATGATGACCACACAATCTTAAACATCCCGTTGATTGCGAATAATTTGGAAATACATGTACTTGTAAATGCAGCTTAACTACCTATGCTGTGTTTTAATTGGATTTTTTTTTGTAGGATGTTTTCATCATTATTTTAAGTTTTTAACAAGTAAACAACCATTGTGCTTTGCTTTTGATGTTGCATTGCTAAAATTTCACCAGATCATTCATGTCTGTGATGTTAAACTCATGATGTTGCCATAGCAATGGTATTTTTTATTTTCTTAATTAAATGGATTTCTTTTGAGGTTGACCCACAGTGTAGATTATTTTCAAACTAGAGTACCTCTTACATAGAACATGAGCATGTATGTTGTGAATAAATTTTACAATGCTATATGCTGGTTTATAGTTTTGTTTGCAATGAAGTGTTTTTGCTACAAAATGCAGCCAATATGGATTCTTGTAATGGTTTGGGCCGTGGATATCCATCTGAGTTGCTCAGTTGGTAGAGCACGTGTCTAGTGATGCAGGGGCCCAGGGTTCAATTCCAGAACCAAGAGGAATTTTAATTTGTACATACCACAACAATATTCCTGGGGTATCTAAAATGAACATCCTCATAGCTGCTAAGCATTTTTGCAGAGGGCATGCCTTTCAAAAATAACACGGTTAATTTGCAAAGAGGCATTTTAATTGGTAAATACACCTGCATTCACAGAGCACACACTTGAGTATATATACATAGTAGTGATTGGTATAAATAACATTAATCACAGCTATACACTGACAAACAGCTTCAATACTCACTGGATAAGTGATGTGATACTGGAGTCACACCTGCTTCTACTATTACAGCTAATCACAGAGACTTGTCTTAATTACAATATTGATACAGATCTAGCAGGATGCAAAATGTGTTTTTCTGATGACAAATTGAAAACTAGAACTATCACACTGAAGTGATATTTAGTAAAGCTTTGTAATGAGACATCTATACATACAAGGGTAGCTTAAATTCTTATGTAACAAACATTAATCAACAGAAATTCTTAAAAATTCAAAAGTAGCCTCTATGTGATTCAAACTGTACTGCAAATTCATAGTTGTTTTGATGACTGTTGAAATTATAAAATTTTGTTGCAATGCCATTTTCAGTTAAACTATTTCATTATTTGTTGAGGTTATAAATTTGTAGACATTTTAAAATTGTACATTTGCTAAAATTCCATGAAAAATAATCAAATGAAATAATTCCATAGTATTCCACTTTAAAGAAACAGTACACAAGTATATTCTTCATATACAGTATATATGTAAAGCATACGTGACAAAGTGAATCTATTAAACATATTTAAATGTTACTAGACATTAATATACATACATTTTGTATGGACAAATACAGGGTTTATCAGATGACACTCACGTGTTGACTAGACCAATACAGAGTACTGAACAAGGATATTAAGTATACACATTGTAACAACATTTATAAGCTATTGATGTACACAGAATAAAATGGTCATGATGTAAGTATGACTGTACACACAATGTACAGATCAATACCGATCAATACATGAAACATTGCCTGTAAGAACCAGTGAAATACGGTTGGTTACTCTTCCAATCAACTGAACAGCAATTATCGCACGGTTATTTACTGATTCCATTCTGAAAATACCTTTCACTTTATGATAAAGTGCCATGAAGGAACAATTTTGATTTGCTATTAAAAAAATTATTCATTTTATCCCTTACGTTCATAATGTTTCAAAGATACAGTAGATGAAACTCACATTGCTATAAGCATGAATTCATTATAAATGTGCTCACTTTAAAAACAACAGAAATATCTGTACCATTGTACAACTAATACTGTGCAACATCAAGGGACCTACATGTATTTTTAGAACAGATACTTTTAAATTATTATTTACACAGATTGTGCTACATGGTGTTGCATTAATATATGGATTTCAGTTTCTCACATGCATCCATTCTTGTTGGCATTGCTTTTGAAAACCTTTAGTCACAAAAAGTAATAAAAATGCTCACTAGCTTCTGTATAAGTACATATGCTCAATAGCTCACCATAACATGGAATAAAACTATTTCACATATGATTACAGAAAATAACAATTTAAAAATGGAGGTACCAAGTGCACTGAGCTTCAAAAATGACACACACACTCCCATATGAGAATCTAACTGGTAAAGACTTGGGGGGGGGGGGGGAGGCTACTTAACATAAAATAGGAGGTACACATTGGCACTAATGAATCTGTGAATTCTTCAAGGAGTTTGGGATTGAATGAGATGGATAAACACTAAATATCTTTGGATCAAAAAGAAAAAGTAGGAGGTACTCTAAATTCTGAAAAAGTGGTTCAGTTCTGGAGGAAACAATAATAAGACATTGGTACTCCTTGTTAGGACATATGGAGAGGACAGACATCTCCCTGCTATTCAATTGGGAGGTTTAAAAAAATCATATAAAAAATCATTAAAAACCATAATATAATAACACGCTTCATTCTGCTAATAAATAAATGGCACTCTCATTTGTTCATAATAGCATACATTCAAATACGGTATAAGCTTTATATACAGGAGACAGTACCTATCACAACAATGAAGTTTTTATAAATATTAAATTTACACAATCCATGAAGAAAAATCTTCATGAACAAAGCAAAAATGTCTGATTCCTAAGTTCACAATACACATTGACAATGCTTACAACTAGCTGGCTGAGTTACTGTATACTGTGAAATTTCGCCCCTGTTTTATTTTCGCCCCTTTCGCCCTTACCTTTGTTGGGCAAATTTGAAACGGGGTGAATTCAAAGAATACAGTATAATTTAAACAAAAGTGTGAATGGGCGAATTTAAGACAGGCAAAATTGTATGCATGATTGAAGGGGCAAAAATAAAGCAGGGTAAAATTAACCCTGTATACAGTATTATATTTCTAAAACCGGTAACAGTTTTCTTGAACCACAAAAGGACTTGCAGAACTAAATTGAACAGCAAGATTATTTCACATGCTTTAATGATAAAATAATACTGTCTACTATTTTTTTCTCTACAATACTGGATAGAAGTACTAATGTCATTTAATAAAGACTGAATTACCAGGTTAGTGAACACAGCATCTAGATAAAAATGATGACACCCCCCTCCTTAAATATCCTGGTGGATAAACTATTTGATTAAAAACTATAAGCACCTAAAAAATAAAACATCATCACATATTGAAATAATATCTTTGGTGGCAATTATTTTATAAAAACAAATAAACTATTCAAAAATGCATACATATTACACATTGTACATTACTATTGCACTCTAACAATGTAAAATTGAATATAAAACTATTCATTTAAGTAACTCATTACTTGTTTGTCATGGAAAGAAAACAAAAACAAAAGGCGATCAAGCAGCGATCAGTAGTCCCGCGTGTTGCTGCTAGAAACAGGACTCTCGGAAATAAAGGAGGAAAAATACGACCCGACTTTTCTCTACTAGGAGTTCAAGTAGGACACAACACTGGAAATGAAGAAAAGATGTAAATTATTGTATCATAAATGCATATCCCTGAAATCAAAATTGTGCCTTTCATCAAATACAATACTGTAAGTCGTTTTAATTCCACGGCGTTAAAATTTCACGATTTCTCAAAAAGTACTGATCGCGATGGTTTTAATTTCACGCTGCAAGATATTTTAAATTGAGCATTATATAAGCATTAAAATGTTTTAAAAAACAAATGGTACCATTCACGATGGGTTAAATTTCGCGTAAAAATGATGAATCGCGAACATAGTGAAATTAAAACCATCGTGATTATTTGCCAATCTACAGAATATAGACAGATTTTTTTTTCTCTTTCAATTGTTAGGCCATTACTTTGACACTGAATTGTCTATAGAATATTTATATGTCATGACTTTATATCATTAGATAGTTTCTATTTGCTGAGATGTACTAGAAGTGGTTAAATGTTTCCCGTAGTGAGGCTTTACCTTTTAGGATGTAATCAGTCAGCAGACCGGGGACTGTAGGACTATCCTCGTTAATCGCTTGTAAAACTGAAATAAAAAGTAATTAATCACATGTCCATTTCTCAATTACTTAATTATTCAAATTTTCAAAAGCTGCTTCTGCAATAAATATATGAACTTCATGTGTGTGTGTGTTTCAACTATAATTGCTTGTTGGATATTTTTGATAATTATGTAGATCTGTAGTTTTTTTTGTACTTTGTGGGAAACCCTCATTTTGATGTTGTTCTGTAGTTGTTTTGAGGTAGAGGACTTACTTTTGATGTAGATCTGTAGCTGTTTTGAGGTAGGGGACTTACTTTTGATGTACATGTAGATCTGTAGCTGTTTTGAGGTAGGGGACTTACTTTTGGTGTTGTTCTGTAGTTATTTTGAGTTAGAGGACTTACTTTTGATGTTGTTCTGTAGTTATTTTGAGGTAGAGCTTTTGATGTAGATCTGTAGTTGTTTTGAGGTAGAGAACTTACTTTTGATGTAGATCTGTAGCTGTTCAGAACTGGGTGCACCATCTGTTGCATGGTAAGGAATTACAGTTGTCAGAAACTGAAACAAGTCATATTTGATAATTAAGTATGTTTGATCAGGGTTTTCATGATGAACCCCAAGTCAGGGCTGTTTGTTATTACTGTACGTGTACTTAAAAAAAAAGCAGGCTTCATATTGAAGCAGACATCGATGCACTAATTCATGAATATCACAAAAAAATCATATATTAATACAATATATAGTGCAGAATTATTAAGAACTTATTTTGCAATACCCCAACAATGTAATTCCAAGTCATTGCTCTAAATTTTCAATATGCCTATTGATGTACACACAGTATATAACTTTAAATATTACATACTGTGCTTGTGCCTTCAGGGCTGTTCATATTGTTATTCACTCCTTTACTCTTCTTTTTCTTTTTGTCCAGGTTTCCGTCACGGCGACGTTTCTGTATGGTCAGCAGTAGGGATATGAACTGGTTTTTGAGTTCTTTGTCGTACTCCAGTTCGTCTCGGAGGGCCAGTTCCCGGATCAGAACCTCCGACAGCTCCTTTATAATGACCTCGTACTCATTCAGAACCTCATTCAGCTGAGTACAGTTCATCCCTTTGAGATCTACAGAACAAAATGATAAAATTGATCAAGTGTTATTTACAGCATTTATTTACTGAACCTAAATCTTATAATACTTCACTGGATTCTTCTCCTTTTTTACCACTTAGGACTATACACTGCAAGTTTAAAATTCAATTATCATCTATCTTTACTGAAACAATTCTCATGCACTAGATGTAAAATGTTTACTGTTTCTAATGACTACTAAAACATAGTAAAACAATGTTCAACAGATTAAAAACAAGTCTCTCAAAAGAGCTGCTTATTTGATTAATATACATGTCCCATAAGACAAAGGCATTCTGACAAACTGTTATCTTTTTAAAGTCATTTTTAGGTATTGATGATACAATTTTACTCTCTTATTGCCAATGTTACTCTTTCCTTGCCTTGGTTACCCTCTCATTAGTGATGGGGAATCGGAAAAAAATCATAATCGATTATCGGTAATAATCGGCTGGGCATAATCGATTAATAATCGATTATAATCGAAATTGTGAACTTTAATAAAATTAATACAGAAAAGTTAAAACTTATTCAGATTTCTGTCAGACTTTTACTAAAAAAACATTTACTTACCTAAAATATTCAAAAAAGTTTATTGAAATTTCTTTTTTCAAAAAGTGGAAAATAATATTTTGTTTACTTTAAACAATATAGGATTTATTTATTTTTTTTTTTTATAAAGTCCATGCAATGGGTATTTTACTGACATTAGTCCCACCTTTCATTTAATACATGTAGGTATTTATGTCTTAAAATTAGTTTTGATTAGTTAAAATTGCAAGTTTTAAAAGTAATTATCCAGAAGTTAGACTTGTATTTATGATTATAATTACGTTTAAAGATTGACTAGACTAATTATGTTTTCTTTACTTGCAATATTACTGTTTCCTGGTATTAGTCTAACCCCATATTTAATCATGGCGGTAAAAGTATCAACAAGACACGGGATCCTTCCATGTTTTCAATGTTCATCACTACTTTTATGCTCTTTGCACTTGGATTTGGTAATAAAATTAAAGTATGACAATTTTATTTTTTGTTAGCGATGTCGGCGACATTTATTTTATAATCGATTAGTAGCATCGAAGAGCTTCTAACGACCGACAATCGATTGTCGCCGACAATCGTTCCATCACTACCTCTCATTGCTATAATTACCCTCCCATTGCAATGGTTATTCATTGCCATGGTTACCTGCTTCTGTGTAGGAGGGAATCTGAGGAAGTTTCTCTTTTTCCAAGGCCATGTCATGGTCAAGGTCATCTTGAGAGTATTCAGAAGGTCCATTTTCCTGCAAATGGTGACGACAAACATGCAAATAAATCCAATAAAAATATATCTCTCCAATATATAAATTATCTCACAGATCTAAATTCTCTCTACAATGAAACATATGGAGATAACAAACAGTATTCAAGATCAAAAGTCCATAAAACAATACAAAATAGCAACAGTGCAAACATGGACCTCCAAAACTTTGGAGGTGGGATCAGGTGCCATGGAGGAGTGAGCATTCCCTGCCGACCGGTCACACGCTATGTTAGCTGCAGATCTGTAGCGTTATGGTTTTATATATTTGTCTTTGACCATAATACTACAGATCCCGTAATGCAAAAAATGTGCAATTTACGGCGCAATAGTTTTTGCACACTTTTGGTGAGAATTTCTCCACTTTCTAGCATCGGTCAATCAACTACCTTTCACTCCCTAATTCTAGACACATTCTGTAGCCAATATGTATTTTTTATCCACCTCCAAACCATTTATAGTTGTCTCTACAGGCAATAAACTCGCTTGAAGTGAATTTTCAGCAATCTAACATATAATTTTAATCATTGAAAAGCGAGTTAATCACTTGTAGAGACAATTATTAAGGGTATGTAGATGGATAAAATATACAGATTAGGTAAATAATGTGTCTAGAATAAGGGAGTGGAAGGTAGTTTATTGACCGAAGCTGGAAAATGGAGAATTCTCCCCAAAAGTGCGCAAACAATATTGCGGCGTAAATTGCACCTTTTTTGCATTACGGGATCTGTAGCGTTATGGTCAAAGACAAATATACAAAACCATAACGCTACAGTTCTGCAGCTAACAGTCTATGCGAAAGTCACCGGACCGTCGGTTTTTACCGGTGTGTGGTCTTTGTCATGAAATCAAAATTAAGAGGTACACATGGTCCAGTTCCCCACAAATACCGTTTATTTGACCAATTTAGCAATAATACTTGATTAATTTTTATGTAAATACAACCCTATCATGATCGTTTTCATCCTCTGTCAAGGGTTAGAGATCTAACACTTGCTATTTAGTGCTTATGTAGATTCGTTTTTTTTTTCAAATGATCATTGAACTTGAGTAACCATAATGAGTTGTTTCACATATGCATTGAAAGTGCATATTAGATTTAATATTTGATACAGTGTATGTTGTATAAGTCAAATATGAAGGTAAAAATGCATGCAATTGTATAAATAGATACCTTTTACAAAGGAAAATTATAAATATAGTTAACTTGTCCATTTCACTCTGAATTTATTTAAGGGTTAAATTTCACAGTGAAATCAAAGTCTCAATCTCAGTATCATAATGATGTATGGATTTAAAGGAAAAAAGTCGGTCTGGTAAGAAAGTGCTTGGTCTGGTAAAAAATTTATTTTTACCAGACATTTTGTCCTTTAAAAATTTTTAACTTTCGCGTAGACTGAGCTAACCCTATGTGTGCTCTTTGTCATGATTAGGAAATAACGGAAAAATCCGTCATCAATTCAGTGCATAAATGATAAGACTAACACTTGCTTGGTGTTAGGTTTTTTATATCTCCAATGCACATGGCAGGGCCTGTAATATTTACTTTGGTTGCTAAAACATTCACTAGAGTAAACTTAACTTGAAATGAACCATGAAATCAAAGTAAAACTGAAGTAATTGAGCACTGATTTATTTCCTGCATCATGTATTTGATTGAGCACCAATATATTACCTGTATATACTCGACTGAGCATTGATTTATTATCTGCATTATGTACTCGATTGATAGATGTACTCAATTCAGCACTGATATATTACCAGCATCATGTACTCGATTGATTGATGTACTCGATTGAGCACTTATTTATTACCAGCATCATGTACTCTATTGATTGATGTACTCGATTGAGCACTTATTTACATGTCTTACCTGCATCATGTACTCGATTGAGCACGGATTTATTACCTGCATCATGTACTCGATCTCGTTAATGACCTCGTCGGCGGTGGCAACATGGTCGTTATCACTGGTCTGCAGACTGGACACGATCAGCGAGTGCATGTCAAACTGCTGGGCAAGTTCTTCATCGTCAGAGAGGTCCAGATTGGGGGCTTCCTGCTCCTGAAACATCACAGAGATGTTAATGTACCAATCACTGGCTGTTAACTTACTAAGGAAACAGACATACAGAGTCATTGATTTCTCAACACTTTGTTAAAACTTAATTATATAACTATTCCTACTGAACTGACGCAAAGTGGTATAAAAGCTGATATAATGTAATTATGAGAGAAACATGCAGCTCTGGATTATGAATGTCTATCCTGAAGGAGTGTTTTACATAAATGTGGGAGGGCTCTATATAAAGACATCATTTTAAACCAAAGGAAATATGACCTCTAATGTTCAATAAGAAGTATACTAATATTCTACGTTCTTTGAATTTTTTTATTGAGAAATTCCTTTAGAATTCATTGCACTATGACAACAAGAGGAATCAAAAGATTTCCATTTATAATATCTGAAAAATAGGAGATTGAGAACAATGCAACAGACCAAAATGGTATTTGACCTCAGACACCTGAATCACCAGTCAGGTGCTCTATCAAGCTATTTGGGCACCGGTGATCGAACCCTGTGACATCAACACTCTATTCCTCTTTTATGACATGGTTTTTAGTGAGTACCGGTATATTCGGGTCATTTTCTGACTAGAGCGTACACTACAAAGTAAATGTCAAGTGACTTCTAGATTTCTGATTAATTTAGAACATTACCTGATCTTCTTTGAGGTTGAGTACTTTGGATTGCAGCTGTCTTGCATAGCTCTTGGACCAATCAATGGGAAGAATGTTACCAAAGTTACCAGTGATGGTCCACCACATTCTACAAATACATCAGTCTCTGTTAAAACAGCTTTTATATGTTTTGCTTTCACATGTTTCTTGCATCAATGACATATTGTGTTAATGTGCAAAGCAGGCTTTCCTGTTATGTCTGAATGGTCTACTGCACAGCATTTCTTTTAAACAGATTTTTTTAAGTAAAAGACATTTATAAAAAAAAAAAAAAAAAAAAAAAAAACTTCGAAGAATTATAATTATTTTTAAGTTAACACTGGATAAAATTTTATGCAAGTTATGAATATGATTTTTTTTTTTCCTTGATCTTTTTACAATAATACAGACTAACAGACAGATGGACAGAGAGAGCAGTTGACCCAAACTAGTATCTCTCACATTCCATGAAAGTGGAGGACAACCAATCAAATTGTGTACAAGGAATAGCCCTGATATGTTATAACCCAAACCTGTTACTCCTCCTTCTCCAATTACACTTTGGTCGGAATTCCAGGTTATCACTTTGAACCTCAGCAAAAGCATCAGGACAGATTTTGGAGTCTTACATATAAACTTCAAAACTCATAACCTAGCTCTCTGAGTGTAATTTTTAAAACAATACTGTAGATCACTAAATTTTCGTGACACCTTATTTTCGCAAGATAGTCATTGACTCTTAATTATTGAGACAAAATTTTCACGAATTTTGGTTATTGCTCTATATAATCTTAAGGAATACTATTATACACGAGAATTAAATTTTCGCGAGCACACTGTCTCGCGTAATTATGCGAAAATAAAGTTCTCGCGAATAAAAAGTGATTTACAGTATTGTAACCAGTGAATAAAGATGTTATGAGGCTATTTTTTCAATTAATACATTGTTTTCACTATACATCTACAAAATCTATTTTAGTTTTAGTGCAATCTTGTGTGTCATTTAGAGTTTTAGACAAGGCTATTAAGGTCAAACTTATAATGGAATAACAGGTGCTTTCCTCTCCCTATCTAAAGCTAACCCTACCAAGATTTCTTCTAAATACTTACTGAGACTGCAGAAAAAATATAAGCTTATAACCAATGGCTAGCATTTAACAATTTTCGCATGATTTACTGAAATGGGTCAAACTATCCATTTTCATTTCCAAATTTCCCCCTGGAAGCTAAGATTAATCTCTATATTTTGTGACAGGATACTCCGATTTTCCGAGACAATGTATTGATTGGTTCTGTGTACACACAATGAAGTTCTCCCTGTAATATTGACAATAACTCAGTCTTCCAATGGACCCGATAAAATTCATAATTCTCCTCAGCCCACTACTGAAAGTAGAAAGCCTGACCAATAAATACCTAACTGTGATAAACTAGGACTATAGGAATAGAGCCGTGCCCACTCGCATAAATATATGTTGTGCCATATCACATATAAAGTTATAACTATTAGGTGTTGAATTTACAGGATTTAATTATGTTTGAATTCATGAACATGGACATGTGTGACATATTTCCAGAGACTGACCAGTAATGAATTGGCCTCTTTCAATAAATACCTTTATATATGTAGGGTCATTGGTTAATGAGGCATACTGTTGTTACAGGGGTGTCAAGCTTTAAAAACATTTTTACAAATAACAACTCTATCACTGCCATGAGCAAAACATCCACATTCACCAAGTGGAATTCAATGCACCACACTAAATAACAATTTAAATGACTGTCTTTAAATGATTTTGAATGGGGTATTTGGTAAGCTCTGTCCGGGAATGATTATCAGCCGTGTTGATCTTGGACGGATTTGCCATTCTGAATCAATAGCAGCATTTCTCCCGAGTTCCTGACTCCCAGGCCCTCGCTTGGCATGCTGGAGTACATATTGATTTGTAAACATCGTGTAACATTTCTCTAAACTACGAAATCTATTTCAATTTAAATGACTTCATGTACCAAAAGAGTGAAATCATTATAAATTAAGAAACAATATCTGTTTAGGCCTGATCAGCATTGCTTATAACTGGTGACTCAGTATTGATTTGGGTGATTCATCAATACACTGGCAGCCTGATAGTCCATTGTTTTACCATTCTTTAGTTAATAAAAGAAAACTTCAATTTTAAATATTGATATATAGATAAAATCTATAAATGTAAATATGATTATTAACCCTCAGCTAAAACTGCACTATCAAAATTCTAAGAATTTTTTTTTCATATATAATCCAATTGAATTCTACACAGCAAGTCTCAACATCTTCTGCCCACCCCACCCCCCCCCCCCCATCCCTTAAAAAAATCCAAAATTTCACTCAATTGCCATAATTCATGACTGATTCTTTAGACAATTCAAAATTAATTTTATGAACATGACAGCAGCTTTTTACTAGAAAAAATGTCACACTTTTACAAACTCTGATCTTGTAGCCTAAGCTAAATTTAATTTTCATTAAGTACAGACAAATCTCATTTATCATGAATTTGATTGGTTTGCATGGTCTGAGAAGAAAAGAACTCGACCCACAAAGTGCCTCATATGGCCTAGCAAATATGAAAAATTTTAAGAGGGCTATAGAATAAATATTTCTGGTGAATCTTACCTTAGACCATTGATACAGTTTACATGTGCAACATTTCTGTCGAAACCGGATGTTTGGGATATCAAATTAAAATCTAAACTTAACAATGGTTCGAAGTTTTCCGGGAAAATGCCCAAAATACGACAGTTAATCGTTATTTACACATAGAGCACATTCGTTACGGCAAAATATTAAACCAGAAAAATAACAATCACTATGCGAGGGATATTTTCAAATGAAAATATTTACCCGTAACGTGTGCGCCCCTATTGAAAAAAGAAGAAATCATTGTCGTGAAAGAGCAATGACTTCAAACCATCATACATTTCCATGTGTTTTACACAAATTCAATGCATCGAACAAGGGGGTATTTTATTCATAAGAGTAAAAGAACAACACATTTCTATCCCACATGTTTCAGACGATAATTAATAGTGGAAAAAAAAATTCTGAAATCAAATTCGAAAAAAAAAAAACTATACTAAGATCATGTACACATAAATGTGACGTTAATGATTATTATACGTCATTTGTGACATCATAAAAGATGTAAAGTGATCATGAGGTTTCACTTTTTTATTTAAAAAACATTTCTAATGATTTTATGGACGTATTGGGTGGCTTGCTGTCATTAATAAAAATGCCCTTTTGAAAAAAAAGAAGAAATGAGTAATATTCTTGAAAAAAAAATCATTAAAAAAAATTTAAACATTTGGGATTTCTAAAAACTGGATCCAAAATAGAACTCATGTGAGGATGCATATAACACACAATATGTTTTTGACGAATCCCCTTATCGAACTGTATGTAATATGAATTTGTATAAAACGCGCAGTTACTGTATCATCCTTTTCAAACGAAAGATACTTGTCTGGCTTTTTATTTAAAAAAGTATAAGTATATTTGATATATCTTTTATTTACGTCGAAAGTATAAATCTTGATACACTCACTGTCGTTTATGCGATATACTTTAAATATGTTTCCAGAATCAAAATGCATAATTTATTCTAATTTCTACATGTCACTATATAGTAATTACTAGAAATATTAAGGTACGGGTCATGGCATCGCGTTCCCCCTAAAGACGGGGCTTGGAGTCAAGAAATATAAATAAGCTAAAAAAAGTTATACACTTTGATAATTAACTTATTAAGAAAGAACACAAATTGAAGCATGTATGTGTGTGTGGTAGTGGGGGGGGGGGGGGGGGGGAGGGTGTTCTTTAACTTAGAAGAGTCTTTCATCCTATCTTTCTTTATTTCTTCATTCATTTTTTGCAGTATGGTCGAGACACTTCAGTAAAAAAAATATTCGAGCCAATTATGGAATTATAATTTTTTTCAAAGTGGTGTGGTGTAGGGGAGTCATGTCCACTTGTTGTATTATCAATTAAAATAAAATGTTGAAAGTACCCTTTCCAAAAATCGGAGGGGGGGGGGGGTTGTTAACTTTACATGTGAATATACAAAATCGTATACTTCACTGTAAAATCCCGGCTTAGCCATTACAGCTATGCAGGTAATTGTATTATTTGAATGAGACAGCTCGGCGTCTTAAATAAAAAAAATGAATAACTGACCCATAAAACCCATCTTGTTTCATGCTAGAGACCGGCAAAATATAAGCATAGATTCTTGATTCAATTATATGACAGGTTATTCCACTAAACTTACGAGTTATATTTGAAATGGCTCACTATAAATTCGTTAAGACACAATGGAATCTGTAAAGAGAGCAATTGCATTGATATAGCTTTCAGTTTGAGCAAAATCCTGTTTATTCATGCCAAGCAAGTTAATATGATCTTCTTCGTATAGGAATTCAATAATTCTTGAATTCACTCGTGTATTTTTTTTGTTTGTTTGTTTGTTTGTTTGTTTGTTTTACGAACTCTCTCTGCGTAGTAAGATAAATGATAATTCACTTCAAAATATTTTTAATGCCCTTTTCCTTTTGATCGATTTCCCCCCTAAATACGTTGATCGGACATGTGAAAAGTCTATACAAGTTTATTTTCTAGCTTTTAAAAATTATGCTTTAAAATACCTGCGAACATAGATTGTTTTACATTATCTGAAAATTATGATTTTTTTTCCGAGGCCAAAATAAAAAAAATACCTTTGTTTCCCCTATAACGCGACCTACCCAATTTAATCGCGCCGACTAAAATGATTTTTTAAATAAGATGATACTTCAAATAATTTTTTGTTATTGTTAACCAGGTTTTATAAAATACATGTACAATTTCATCAAAATAAGTTTTTCTCAGAACTGCCGACATTGTGCTACTGTGAATTTCAAGCATTTGTTGGAAACAAAATGACGCCCATATGTTATTATAGAGAATTAGTTCTTCATAAAACAACGGCGACGTATCAATCTTATGCCTTAGGCTTATAAGAATTTTTCACTCTTAAAAGAATTCGATAATAAGTTGTGACTTAAACAGAACATTTGAGAAAAAAATTTACTTCAATTATGTGTCTAAGCACCTTTAATAAATAGGTGCATTATAATCCTACAGTCATCTCTATCGCCTTTTTACGTGACGTTATATTACAAAAAAGTGACCTTCCTAATGCATTTTTCCATCAAAACAATACCATATTACAAGATCTCGTTTTGAAAAAGTAAAATAGATATCGAAAAAAGAAAAAGGGTTATGAAAAGCTTAAAGTCTACATTATCGATAATAAAAATCATGTTAATTTTGGGGATGAGGCCATATTTTATGGTTCGTGGATTAAACTCTTTGAGGTATTTATGAAATCAAAATTAAAAAAAAAAAAACATAAAGAAAATTGGTAACTGGTAAGGACTCCCAATTTGCTTTGGTATATCAATGGCATTGAGATATCAGTATAAAATAATAAAGTTCGTTTTGACAAATATCTTATGTTTTTACATGTTTAAGTATATATATAAACTTAAAATTCACATTGTAAACATAATAAGAAAACTTTGTACAATGTAATCTGAAACATGTGTCTTTAAGAAAACATTTTTTTCTTTATGAAAAAAACCCACTGTCCACAATCATAACAATGTCTTGTCAGGGAAATTTCATGCATCCTGAGTCTGACATGATGGTTAAATCTTTATAGCCATTTTGTGGCAAGTACACCTTGTTTAGATAACTTAAAACGCAGAAAGAAAATAAATACACATCTGAGTGAGGACTCTATACCTATGTTGCATGGCTATTAAAGCTTATTCTACCCAGTAATTTAATAGAATGCCACAGATTCAGAACATTTACCTCCAACAAACTCTTAAATTTTTAAAACAAGTTGGGGTTAGATGGAAGATGGGATAGAATATTACTTAGAGAAATTAGGTATTAAAAGGCAGCTTTAGTGCAATTAGAGATTAAAAGTTTTAGACACTTTGAAATGGAAAATTCATATCAAATTAAAAAAAATGCTACAGGTATTTGGTAAATCATACACTGACTAGTAGAAATGATGAACTTAAAATATAAATCAATTTTCATCTTACACTGTGACAGCAAGTATTTAGAGGAAAATGTTTAACCAAAAGCACCTAATTCTTTTTAAAATGCTGATTGAGAGATAAATTAAGTTTTATAAAGACATTGTCAGAGGTCCACAACAACCCTGACTCTTATGAACCACATGGGAGGAAAGTTTTCTTTGCCAGTGGGTGTGATTTTGCGGGCAAACATTCGCCTAATGCACAAATCAGCACCATTATTGTGTTGCACCATTTTTTGGCACACAGAGCAGCTTCTTCCTTACCCCTGCCTAATATATTCTATCATATATATATACTTCCACACCAATTCCCCAAACAATTTTTAATTACCCTCATGAATCTGGAATCGACATAAGCAACGCATGAAATATTCAACATGATCAATAAATCATGTTTAGTTAACACTCTGATACAAACTCAGCTGACAAATGTCTTAACAGATGGCTGATATAAACCAATCCTGGACATGTGAAGAATCTTTGTCACAAACACCCTACTGCCCCTAGACCAAAACAAAAAAATCTTTGATCCTCTCCTGTGACTGTAAAATACAGACGTAAATAATGACAATAATTACTCACTGACAATCATTAATTATCTCTTCTTGGCTTCGTATTTGTACAGGGGCTATTTTGTCATTAACATTCTCCTCAAAATTGCAGAAACACTTGGTAATTTTCTCGTCAAAAGAGTTCACGAGATCTTCTAACGAGCCAGAATAAGGCTCTGTAAAGTGTTCACTGTCCTCGTGATCGTTCCCTTCACTCGTCTGATGAGATTCAGTTTCTTTTAAGATATTTTCTACTGTTATAGCTTCCTGAAATTCACTGTATTCATTCCATTCCTCGTTTTCAAACTTGGCTAGCGGTGCCTCGAACTGAAGCTCCGCCATATTCGAGGAGTAAATGACCTTTACCTTCAGGTGCCCGTTATCGGAATACCTCTAGAATTTTCTAATATGCCTATGTAATCCTTGCGGAACTCCTTTGGTAATTTCATTCTAACAACAAACGTTGCTGATGCTGAGAAGAAGGGGGAGTACCGTAAGTGTGGATTTTTGGATTTTTCTTTGTTTTAAATTTTCTCTAGGTTCAGAATTTACACAATGCAGTTTTTTTGGACTGGACCTAACTCTGGGTTTCATGTTTTTCCCTCATAATCGTGTATAGATACTGATTTCTCATATTCTAAAATGTTAACAGCTTGAGGATTTTTATGTTTGAAGGAATTTGTGTCAAAAGGTAAAAATAAATCTTACCTGTTTGAATCTGAAGACAATGGTTGCATCAAAGAGTATGAACTGTATAAAACTCACTAAATGCTATATCAATGAGTTTTATAGTGACATGAAGTACAGTATCAACATTTTATTATTACATGGATTATGCATCTAGGGATGGACATTTATAGCTCTTAAATTAATATTAACACGTGCAGTATGTGAAATTGGTTAACTGCATGTATCTGCTCGATCATTATGTACATAAGACATCAAAATGTTGGAAAATTTCAAGTCTAACTGTTTAATGAATAAAAAAAAAGGTTGAAAGTCATGCATCTTTTTTTCCTTAAAAATTGATGAAGAAATTTTAAATTAGGACAAAATTCTACATTGTTATCACCATGATCACATCATTCTTTTGAAAATTAAATTATTATTGTTTTAAAGCCAGCTGCTGCTTAGCAAACTTTTATAAATTCTTAGATACCACAATATATACTTGATCATGTTTATATTTGAGATTAATAAAGGATGAATGCAGGTCGATTGAAATGTATATGAATATACCGGGCCTGTCAGTGCAGATGGATGATCAGCTGACATGATACAGTCAGGCTACCTTTAAGTTTATAGAAGTACAGCATAATTTGTCTTCAATATTTCCAATTTTGCCAATATTTTAAATTTAAAACTTCAAATTCAAAGGATACAGCACCCTTTACTAAAGACTTAGCCCTGTATATTTTTCTCCAATATATCATTAAACAGCTTCAGTTACTGCATGTGTCATTAAGGAAGGAATCCATCCTTCACTGAATTTCTGTTTTAATATGAGAGGTATTCAAGTCAGTCTTAGAAATCCTTATAATTTTTATAAAATTATGATTTATATGCAAGAATAAAACTATTTACATGATTTTTAGCTCACCTCAACGTAGTCGAGAAGTGCTTATGCTATAACCCCTGCGTCGACCTCCCAGTTAAAGTTTTAGGCGCAGGTCCATTTCCAAGTAACTATAAGCCCTACCTGGACTAGGGATGGACACTACCAGACTTGCTTCAGATGCTGGATCTGACCTATATTTTCCAGATGAGTGACCAGGTTAAAGTTTTTGGAGCAGGTCCATTCCCAAGCCAAACTTACATGGCTTGCTTTGGATGCTGGATCTGACTTACATTTTCCAGATGAGTGACCACATTAAAGTTTTTAGAGCAGGTCCATTCCCAAGTATCTAGAAGCCCTACTCTGACCAAACTTGCATGGATGATGCATCTAGGGATGGACACTACCAGACTTGCTTCGGATGCTGGATCTGACCTATATTTTCCAGATTAGTGACAAGGTTATTCCCAAGTAACTATTATCCCTACCTGGACCAAACTTGCATGGATGATGCATCTAAGAATGAACAGTCAAAACTTGCTTCGGATGCTGGATCTGACCTACATTTTCCAAACGAATAACCAGGTTAAAAGTTTTGGAACTGATCAATCCCAATGAACTTTAAGACCTATTTAAACAGAACTTGCCTGAATATTGTTGTCAGAATAAATACTGATTGTTAAGAAAATATGATGTGAGATTTACATAACTTTAACTGATTACATTATAGAGGTGAGCTTCGTAATCTTTGATTACCTATGTTTTATTTTATAAAAAGGGAGAGTGCTCACTCATCAAACCTCCCTTGGTTACAATGGTGACTGGGGAATGACCATGTTCCGGGTGAGCCACATCTCTGTGAGTCGTAGACAGCAATGGTCGTCCACCCACCACACCTTCTTTGGTACCGTCCAGCCCCGGGGGAAGCAGCCATGCTTTAGGGGGCTCTTTCTGGGGGTCATAGCTGGGATCCTGCTGACCATTGGTATAATGTTGACCTGGATAGGTATGTGTATCGTAAATGTATGTTTTATCTTCAAATCTAGTATTCTGAGTGTATTCTGTGTACATGAATGCGGATAAACATTTACAAAACTTTGTATTTAAGAAGTACTATTTTGCAACTTAATGTCAATTCTAGTATATGTATCCTTTTTTGTATAGAGGTTTTGAAAGTAGTAAGTAATTATGATAAAAGTTACATTGATTTACTGAGGCATTTTATTTTGATTCTCTATAGCTGGATTAAGTGGTATTGTCGAAGCAGGCCCCATCTTGATTGGTTTTTCTCTCATTGTGTTCCTTGTTGCTTCATGTCAGTTCTTACAAGCCAGAAAAGAACAGCTTCTGGAGAGACAAGCTGAGGAGGTAAGTACAGATAGGTCAACTCAGGTGGCTGAGTATTTAAGTACAGATAGGTTAAGTCAGGAAAACAAGGAGGGAAGAACAGATAGGTCAACTCAGGAGGCTGAGAAACTAAGTACAGATAAGTCAGAGGCTGAGGTGTTAAGTACAGATTCATCAACTCAGGAGGCTGAGAAGGTAGGTACAGATAAGTCAGCTCAGGAGAATGAGGAGGTAGGTACAGATAGGTCAACTCAGGAGAATGAGGAGGTAGGCACAGATAGGTCAACTCAGGAGAATGAGGAGGTAGGCACAGATAGGTCAACTCAGGAGAATGAGGAGGTAGGCACAGATATGTCAACCCAGGAGAATGAAGAGGTAGCTACAGATAGGTCAACTCAAGAGAATGAGAAGGTAGGTACAGATAGGTCAACTCAGGAGAATGAGGAGGTAGGTACAGATAGGTCAACTCAGGAGAATGAGGAGGTAGGCACAGATAGGTCAACCCAGGAGAATGAAGAGGTAGGTACAGATAGGTCAACTCAAGAGAATGAGAAGGTAGGTACAGATAGGTCAACTCAGGAGACTAAAGAGGTAGGTACAGATAGGCCAACTTAAAGAGGCTTAAAGAAGCAAGTACAGATAGGTCAATTCAGTGGACTAAGGAAGTAAGTACAGGCAGGTCTTCTCAGGACCTAAGTACAAATACGTCTGCTCAGGTGGCTGAGGGGCTAAGTACAGATACATCAAAACAGGGGGCTGAGGAGCTAAGTACAGATAGGTTAACTCAGGAGACTTGGGATCTAGGTACAGATAGGTTAACTCAGGAGACTGAGGACGTAAGTACAGATAGTTCAACACAGGACGCTGGAGATCTAGGTACAGATAGGTTAATTCAGGAGACTGGGGATCTAGGTACAGATAGTTTAACTCAGGAGACTGGAGATCTAGGTACAGATAGGTTAACTCAGGTAACTGGGGATCTAGGTACAGATAGGTTAACTCAGGAGACAGGGGATCTAGGTACAGATAGGTTTACTGAGGAGACTGGGGATCTAGGTACAGATAGGTTAACTCAGGAGACTTGGGATCTAGGTACAGATAGGTTAACTCAGGAGACTGGGGATCTAGGTACAGATAGGTTAACTCAGGAGACTGGAGACCTAGGTACAGATAGGTTAACTCAGGATACTGGGGATCTAGGTACAGATAGGTTAACTCAGGAGACTGGAGATCTAGGTACAGATAGGTTAACTCAGGTAACTGGGGATCTAGGTACAGATAGGTTTACTCAGGAGACTGGGGATCTAGGTACAGATAGGTTTACTGAGGAGACTGGGGATCTAGGTACAGATAGGTTAACTCAGGAGACTGGGGATCTAGGTACAGATAGGTTAACTCAGGAGACTGGGGATCTAGGTACAGATAGGTTAACTCAAGAGACTGGGGATCTAGGTACAGATAGGTTAACTCAGGAGACTGGAGATCTAGGTACAGATAGGTAAACTCAGGAGACTAGAGATCTAGGTACAGATAGGTTAACTCAGGAGACTGGGGATCTAGGTACAGATAGGTTTACTGAGGAGACTGGGGATCTAGGTACAGATAGGTTAACTCAGGAGACTTGGGATCTAGGTACAGATAGGTTAACTCAGGAGACTGGGGATCTAGGTACAGATAGGTTAACTCAGGAGACTGGGGATCTAGGTACAGATAGGTTAACTCAGGAGACTGGTGATCTAGGTACAGATAGGTTAACTCAGGAGACTGGAGATCTAGGTACAGATAGGTTAACTCAGGTAACTGGGGATCTAGGTACAGATAGGTTAACTCAGGAGACTGCGGATCTAGGTACAGATAGGTTTACTGAGGAGACTGGGGATCTAGGTACAGATAGGTTAACTCAGGAGACTTGGGATCTAGGTACAGATAGGTTAACTCAGGAGACTGGGGATCTAGGTACAGATAGGTTAACTCAAGAGACTGGGGATCTAGGTACAGATAGGTTAACTCAGGAGACTGGAGATCTAGGTACAGATAGGTAAACTCAGGAGACTAGAGATCTAGGTACAGATAGGTTAACTTAGGAGACTGGAGATCTAAGTACAGATAGGTTAACTCAGGAGACTGGGGATCTAGGTACAGATAGGTTAACTCAGGAGACTGGAGATCTAGGTACAGATAGGTTAACTCAGGAGACTGGGGATCTAGGTACAGATAGGTTTACTCAGGAGACTGGGGATCTAGGTACAGATAGGTTAACTCAAGAGACTGGGGATCTAGGTACAGATAGGTTAACTCAGGAGACTGGAGATCTAGGTACAGATAGGTTAACTCAGGAGACTTGGGATCTAGGTACAGATAGGTTAACTCAGGAGACTGAGGACGTAAGTACAGATAGGTCAACACAGGACACTGGAGATCTAGGTACAGATAGGTTAACTCAGGAGACTGGGGATCTAGGTACAGATAGGTTAACTCAGGAGACTGGGGATCTAGGTACAGATAGGTTAACTCAGGAGACTGGGGATCTAGGTACAGATAGGTTAACTCAGGAGACTGGAGATCTAGGTACAGATAGGTTAACTCAGGAGACTGGGGATCTAGGTACAGATGGGTTAACTCAGGAGACTGGGGATCTAGGTACAGATAGGTTAACTCAGGAGACTGGGGATCTAGGTACAGATAGGTTAACTCAGGAGACTGGGGATCTAGGTACAGATAGGTTTACTGAGGAGACTGGGGATCTAGGTACAGATAGGTTAACTCAGGAGACTGGGGATCTAGGTACAGATAGGTTAACTCAAGAGGCTGCGGAGATGAGTATAGATAGGTCAACCAAGGCGGCTGAGGATGTAGGTACAGATAGGTTATCCCAGGAGGCTAAGGAGCTAGGTTCAGATAAGTCAACACAGGAGGCTAAAGAGGTAGGTACAGATAGATCATTGCAGGAGGCTGAGGATGAAGGTACAGATAGTTAGCTCAAGAGGCTGATTTGATAAGTACAGATTTGCCATTCCAGGAGGCTGGGGAGCTAGTATAGAAAGGTCAACTCAGGAGGCTGAGTAGCTAGGTACAGATAGCTTAACTTAAGAGGCTGGGAGGGAAGTACAATTAGGTCAACTCTGATTTGATAAGTACAAATAGGTCAACTTAGGAGGATTAGTAGCTAGGTACAGATAGTTTAGTTCAGGAGGCTGGCAGGGTAGTTCAGATAGGTTAACTCAGAAGGCTAAGGAGATAAGTATGGATAACAGATTAGTACAAGCTATGGACGTAGCACCCTCTGAACCCTCAGGTTTTCTCTCTGTTACACTGCATTCAACAAGCAGTTTAACAAAGTGAAAACAGGTGGGTTCTGACATTGTGGAAATAGTTACAAGGAGGTTAGTACAAATAGATATAAGTCAACTCAGGACGCTTTTAAGGTCATTTAAGGAACACAAATTGTCATCAATTTTCTGTGATTTTGATTAAACTAGAGAATTCTGTAGAACAGGAAAAAATATCATTGAAGTAATTCTGTTGCTACAAATTCAGAAGAAAAACAAAAATCTGCTTTAAAAATTTGTAAAATTTTAAAAATCAAACCAGCATATTGCTTTTAGATTCAGGATTAGAAAGTTAAATACATTTCAAGCTCCTCTAACACAAGATGACTGCAAAAGTTTTTCTTTTCCTATTTTGACTGATTAAAGGAATACTCTGACGTGGAGCAAAAATATCATGTAAATAATTTCACAGTGTGTGTATTTATGTAGCTTATTCCTATGTTGGGTTAAGACATTTTTTTAATGTTCAAAATATCAAGAAATTTTAAATAAGAATTCTGATTTACAGCAGAGAAGACAAGCCATAGCCACAATGGCAGTAAATCAAGACGGTGATAATCCCCCAGAGACTGTCATTATTGAGGCCCTGACCCCAAGTGAAATGTACAGGTAAGAGTGAAATTTACAGGTAACAGTAATATATACAGGTAAGAGTAAAATGTACAGGAAAGACAAAAATGCACAGGTATGAGTGAAATGTACAGGTAAGGGTGAAATGTACAGGTATGAGTAAAATATACAGGTAAGAGTGAAATGCACAGGTAAGAGTGAAAGTTACAGGTATAAGTGAAATGTACAGGTAAGACTGAAATGTACAGGTAAGAGTGAAATGTACAGGTATGACTGAAATGTACAGGTAAGGGTGAAATGTACAGGTATGAGTGAAATGTACAGGTAAGAGTGAAATGTACAGGTATGAGTGAAATGTACAGGTAAGAGTGAAATGTACAGGTATGACTGAAATGTACAGGTAAGGGTGAAATGTACAGGTATGAGTGAAATGTACAGGTAAGAGTGAAATGTACAGGTATGAGTGAAATGTACAGGTAAGAGTGAAATGTACAGGTAAGAGTAAAATGTACAGGTAAGGGTGAAATGTACAGGTAAGGGTGAAATGTACAGGTAAGAGTGAAATGTACAGGTAAGAGTGAAATGTACAGGTAAGAGTGAAATGTACTGGTTAAAGAGAAATGTACAGGTAAGAGTGAAGTATACAGGTAAGAATGAAATGTACAGGTAAGGGTGAAAGTTACAGGTAAGAGTGAAATGTACAGGTAAGAGTGAAATATACAGGTAAGAGTGAAATATACAGGTAAGAGTGAAATATACAGGTAAGAATGAAATGTACAGGTAAGGGTGAAATGTACAGGTAAGAGTGAAATGTACAGGTAAGAGTGAAATGTACACGTATGACTGAAATGTACAGGTAAGGGTGAAATGTACAGGTATGATTGAAATGTACAGGTAAGAGTGAAATGTACAGGTATGAGTGAAATGTACAGGTAAGAGTGAAATGTACAGGTAAGGGTGAAATGTACAGGTATGAGTGAAATGTACAGGTATGAGTGAAATGTACAGGTAAGAGTGAAATGTACTGGATAAAGAGAAATGTACTGGTTAAAGAGAAATATACAGGTAAGAGTGAAATATACAGGTAAGAATGAAATGTACAGGTAAGGGTGAAATATACAGGTAAGAGTCAAATGTACAGGTAAGAGTCAAATGTACAGGTAAGAGTCAAATGTACAGGTAAGAGTGAAATATACAGGTAAGAGTGAAATGTACAGGTAAGAGTGAAATGTACAGGTAAGAGTGAAATGTTAGAGTGAAATGTACAGGTATGAGTGAAATGTACAGGTAAGAGTGAAATGTACAGGTAAGAGTGAAATGTACAGGTATGAGTGAAATGTACAGGTAAGAGTGAAATGTACAGGTAAAATTGAAATGTACAGGTAAGGGTGAAATATACGGGTAAGAATGAAATGTACAGGTTAAAGAGAAATATACAGGTAAGAATGAAATGTACTGGTGAGAGTGAAATATACAGGTAAGAATGAAATAACAAGTAAGAGAAAAATGTACAGGTGAGAGTAAAATGCAAACCAGTGATGTGTACAATAGTGAAATGGTATTAAAGGTTCCCATGTAGATAATATGAATCCTAAGGTGTTTCTTGATGGTTTTACAAAAGAGTGATGACTTTCCCTTTCTTTCTTATGTTTTAAAGAGTAAATATAAATCAGAAGATAATTTTTTTCTGCTTTAAGGGAAACTTTTATTTTCTTGTAGCAGCACGGATGACAATGCCCCACCCAGCTACATGGAAGCCACCGAATCTGATCTGAACCACTCTGTTCTCCTGCCGGAGGAGGTGAACGAGCAGATAGAGGACCCGCCTTCTTACGCTGAAGCCATGAGCACTTCCTGTGTAGAGATCTGTACAAGAGGGACAACTCCAGCCAGTGTGTGCTGGATTCCTCCTTATTATCCCCATTTATCTCCCCCTGAACATTGTTATTCGAGTCTCAGCGGGCCTCCTATAATGATGACGTCGTTAGACGGGGAGGAAGTGGAGGACGCCGAACGTCCAGTGATTCTGACGTCGTTAGATCGCGAGGGGACGGAGAACAATGAATCTCCAATAATCATGACATCATTACATCCTTACAGAGTGGAAAATAACGAGCCTCCTATAATAATAACATCATCACATCGGGAAGGCTTGAGGGACAATGACCTTGAAATCAGCTCAGATGTGGATGAATTCTCAGACACAAGCAGTTCACGTAGACCCAGTGAAGAAGTCCAGAACTAGAGTCCTGTGATTTTACAATACATGTAGCTGTTTATATTTTTGTAATGATGCATAGGCAGTGTAACTTTTTTTGATATTCGTGAAGTCATAGGTTATCCATCATTGCAAATCATGGATTTGAGTCCACAAGCTCCCTCATAGAGAGAATCATTGTGAATCAGTGGTGGGTTACAGAGGATGTACATGTAGGTTATAAGAAGGAGCCCCGTGCAGTTATTGTGAATTCAAAGGCATTTTATGATGATTTTACAAAAGCATAATGATTGTTTAATATTTAACTCACTTCAGATAGTAATATATATGTTAATCCAAGATTATGAAACAAACTGGATTGAGATGTGATTAATTGTCTTATACTTGTATTCAGTCAGTTGAAAAAGCAAATTCTCAAAAATGATTTTGGGGTGGTATTGTTGTACATGTGTATCTGTTGTTAAGTCAGTGATTGTGCTGTTATTTCATCATCTGACCATAGTACAAGTGGAATTACAGAGTACATTACATCACACATTTCATACAGAGTTGCTCATATATAGTTATGAAAGAAGGCAGGGGAGAGAGTTGGAATACAGTTCTACAGAAAACAGAGTGCCATTTACATCTCTTGCCTTCAGTGTACTGACATTTTCATGATGTATGCTAGTATTTTGTTAGATCCAGTGTTATAATCTGGATTATTTTTTCTACATATCATATTTCTTTTTAATTTATTTTTAAGTTTGACATAATAAAATGTACATTTTTTTTTTGTAACATGATGAGGTGGTTGTGAAGTTGAGATGACTATCAGTGCCGCCATTTTCAGCACCTGACCATCTCTGGAAACTTTATTTCAATACAGAGTGTTTTTGTTTCAATAGTATTACATATAAATACTATTTTTATACTCATCTCTGTAGATGTATATTTTATCTGCCTGCTGCAGAAGCTTAATATATGTATTGTATACTGACACTTTTATTCAGATTCTGAACATTCGTGCAGGTTTCTGATGCAATGGTTTACTTTGTTTATAATTTCTATCTTCATCAATAGATACATTTTATTGTAAGAGCGCCTTGATGAGGAAACTTAATTTTGTCTGGTAAAAAAAAGTTAATTGAGTTTTAATTTGTAGTATTGTATTTACAAAGAAGAGTTTAATCTTTTCAATATCCGTGTAAAAAAAGGCTTGCTTCTTGTAAATGTACTGGTTCCCTAAAGAAGTTTTTTGGAAAGATTTTTTTTCCTAATATTATTTATTGTTCAAAGTTATTCTTGTATACATTTAGTTAGCCAAAGACTCAAGTAAGCTGTTCTAAATTATTCATCTCATTTTCTGTTTGGCTGTCAGTAAAGTTTTTGATTTTGTTATGTTCATTTCTTTTACTGGACCAACTTCCCAAAGCAAGAAAATTCAATTTTTTCCAAATGTGAAGGGTTAAAACTTTTACCCGTTTTGTTTTACAAATTAATTCTATGAGGATCTAACTCACATGAGCTGTAAGCTTTTCTGATCACCTTTGTCTGGCACCCCTCCTTCTACCTGTGTCTCTCTATCCAACTGAAAACAGACAGAAAGCATCCTTAGGTTTAAAAATCACTTTTCAAATGAAGGGTCATGACCACTTTCAAAGGGAAATAATCATAAAAAGGCAAAAATGCAATTGGCTTCCATAAGTAATCTCATTAGAACCTCTAGGCCAGAAAAGTTAAGATTTGTAGAAAGTTCAGTATACTAAAATTGTGTAATGATGAACTTGAAGTTGACCTTTGTTAAGAGGTAGATGTTACTCAGGTGAGCTCTGTGGCCTTTCAATTTATCACTTTTTAATACTGTAAGTATAATTACATGTATATTTTTATGCCCCCCTTCGAAGAGGGGAGGGCATATTGCTTTGCTGCTGTCTGTCGGTCGGTCGGTATGTCGGTCTGTCGGTCCATTTAGTTTCCATTCATTTTCTTCACAACTGTTGCACATACTGAAATGAAATTTGGTATACAGGTATATCAAATGAATATCTAGGTCAAGTTCTGTTTTGGGTAAGATCGCACTATAATTGACAGAGTTATGCCCCTTGGACTTAGAAAAATTCCAATTATTTGCAGTCTCCGTTTATTTTCTTTACAACTGTTGCACATACTGAAATGAAATTTGGTATACAAGTATATCAGATGAATATCTAGTTCAAGTTAAGTTTTGGGTACGATCGCACCATTTTTGACAGAGTTATGCCCCTTGGACTTACAAAAATTCCAATTATTTGCAGTTTCCGTTCATTTTCTTTGGAGAGGTGGCACATATTAAAATGGAATTAAATATACAGATTAGTCAGATGAATATCTAGGTCAAGTTGTGTTTTGGGTATGATCGCACTATTTTTGACAGAATTATGCCCCTTGGACTTACAAAAATTCCAATTATTTGCAGTTTCCATTCATTTTCTTTGGAGAGGTTGCACATATTGAAATGGAATTTAGTATACAGATTAGTCAGATGAATATCTAGGTCAAGTTTTGTTTTGGGTATGATCGCACCATTTTTGACAGAGTTATGCCTTGGACTTAGAAAAATTCAAATTTGTGGGGGAGGGAGGGCATAAGTGTTTTACAAACATCTCTTGTTAATCCATATGTTGATTCTCCTCTCAAAACCAGACATTCATTTAAGAAATTGTTTTCTATCAGATAAAATCATTGAATTCAAACTTATTCACTGATATGATCCAGTTGTGTATAATTTACAAAAAGAAATGATAAAAGCATAGAGTTTATTGCATACAAACATTTATATTGTAGAAAAAATGTTTATGAATGGATCAACATTGCTTGTTACTGGTATTGTTTATATGTTCATGTATTTGTATAAAAAAATAAATATTTTATTGGACAATATGACTTCAGTATTGATATTTTAGTGAATACAGAACATGAAACTGAACATCTTTATCATTCAACAAACCTTCCCCTTCCGCCAGTACTGATATAATCCCCTCACCTTCTCTAGTACTGATATCATCCCCTCACCTCCCTCAGTACTGGTATCATCACCTCACCAAGTAATGGTATCATCCCCTCACCTTCCCCCAGCACTGGTATCATCCCCTCACCTTCCCCAGTACTGATGGAAGGTGAGGGAATGATACCAGTATTTGGGGAAGGTGAGGGGATGTTACCAGTACTGGAGGAAGGTGAGGGGATGATACCAGTACTGAGGGAAGGTGATGGGATGATACCAATACTGAGGGAAGGTGAGGGGATTATACCAACAATGGGGGAAAATGAGGGAATGATAACAGTACTGGGGAAGATGAGGGGATGATACCATTACTGAGGAAAGGTATGGGGATGATACCAGTGCTGAGGGAAGGTGAGAGGATGATTCCAGTACTGAGGGAAGGTGAGGGAATGATACCAGTACTTTGGGAAGGTGAGGGGATGATTCCAATACTGGGGGAAGGTGAGGGGATGATACCAGTACTGAGGGAAGGTGAGGGGATGATACCAATACTGAGGGAAGGTGAGGGGATTATACCAATATCCTGTCACTTTCCCCCAGTACTGGTATCATCCCCTCACCTCCCCCAGTAATGGTATCATCCCCTCACCTTCCCCCAGCACTGGTATCATCCCCTTAACTTCCCCAGTACTGGTATCATCCCCTCACCTTCCTCCCAGTACTGGTATCATCCCCTCACCTTCCTCCCAGTACTGGTATCATCCCCTCACCTTCCTCCCAGTACTGGTATCATCCCCTCACCTTCCTCCCAGTACTGGTATCATCCCCTCACCTTCCCCAGTACTGGTATCATCCCCTCATCTTCCCTCAGTACTGGTATCATCCCCTCACCTTCCCCAGTACTGGTATCATCCTCTCACCTTCCCCAGTACTAGTATCATCCTCTCACCTCCCCCAGATATTATAAAAGTTATAGCCAACACGAAATGGGGAGCTGATAAAAGTACCCTTCTTAAACTTTATCGCTCTCTTGATAGATCTAAATTAGATTATGGTTGTATTGTGTATGGATCAGCTAGGACTTCTTATATAAAGGCTCTTGACGCAATCCACCATCGAGGTCTTAGATTGTGCTTGGGGGCTTTTAGAACTTCGCCAAAAGATAGTTTATATGTGGAATCAAATGAGCCACCTCTGGACTTAAGAAGAATTAAACTAGCTTTACAATACATAATTAAATTAAAAGTGAATACGGACAATCCTGCTCATGACTGCGTATTTCATCCTCAAAATGTACATTTATATGATAAAAACAAGAAATGCATAAAACCAATTTGTTTGCGATTAAAAAATCATATTAGAGATTCTGAACTACCATTAGATATAGTAAAATCAACTTCTCTATCTGAAATACCACCGTGGAAATTAATTAAACCCGTAGTTAATAAATCCCTTTCCGAACTTAAGAAATCAGAGACAAATCCCCTCGTTTTTAAACAGAAATTAGACGAAATAAAAGATTCTAAATCTGCAACAGTAGAAATTTACACAGACGGCTCAAAGGATAAAGGCAGGGTTGCGGCCGCTGCAATTGTCAATAAAAATGTTTTTTTCTGTAAGACTTCCAAACGAAGCAACAATTTTTACGGCTGAAGCTAAAGTATACAACTTGCTTTGGAATATATTAAAACTTCGGATAAAAACTCTTTCACAATATTTTCAGATTCGCTTTCATGTTTACAGTCCATACACAATATGAACAGTGATCATCCGTACATTTTGGATATTAAATAAGTTACATCATCTTGCTAAACAAGGTAAAAATGTCGAATTTTGTTGGATTCCAAGTCATATTGGTATTCCCGGTAATAACAAGGCTGACAGTGCTGCAAAATCTGCTCTTCAATATGAAATTGTTACTTTTAAAACTCCTTACACCGATCTTAAGTACCTTGTGAAACTTTCTGTAAATTCTCTTTGGCAAATATTTTGGGATTTTTGTGATAGTCATAAATTGTATTCAATACAAAACAAAGTTAATCAATCATCCGACTTCGGTCTGAAACGTCAGGACGAAGTTATTTTTTTTTTCAAGATTAAGAATTGGACATTCAAGGTTTACCCATTCCGATTTACTAAGCGGGGAACATCAACCTGAATGCATATCTTGTGACTGTGCCATAACTTTAAATCATATACTTTTAGAATGTTCTGATTTTACACCTGTTCGAAATAAACTTTTTAATGGTGTTAAAACAATGCAAGATCTTTTTACAAAAGTAACGCCTAGTGCAATTTTGCAATACTTGCAAGAAATAGATTTTTACAATAAGATTTTAACGTCAATATTTTTATAAGCATTATTATCTTTGTATATTTGAATTTAACTGTTTCTTATTTTTAAATTCCAAGTCCGTCGGATGGGACGTTAAACGGTGCCCCGTGTCTAGGATAACAACTTCCGTGGCACGTAAAAGATCGTTTCTCTGGAGTTCGAAAAAGAGTAGGCTCATTGGGGGCCGCGAGAGAAACCAAAAACTTTCAAAACCGTTCATACAATATTTAAATTTCTACGGCGTTAAAAACAATAATCAATCAATCATCCCCTAATACTGGTATCATCCTCTCAACTACCCCACTACTGGTATCATTCCCTCACCTTCCCCAGTACTGGTATCATCAACTCGCCTTCCCTAGTACTGGCATCATCTCCTCACCTTCCCCCAGTACTGGCATCATCTCCTCACCTTCCCCCATTACTGATGTCATCCCCACACCTTCCCCCATTACTGATGTCATCCCCTAACCATCCCCCAGTACTGGTATCATCCCCTCACCTTCCCCCAGTACTCATATCATCCCCTCACCTTCCCCAAGTACTGTCATCATCCCCTCACCTTCCCCAGTATTGATAACATTCACTCACCTTTCCCAGTACTCGTATCATCCCCTCACCTTCCTCCAGTACTAGTATCATCCCCTCACCTTCCCCCAGTATTGGTATCATCCCCTCACCTTCCCCCAGTACTAGTATCATCCCCTCACCTTCCCCAGTACTTGTATCATCCTCTCACCTTCCCCCAGTACTGGTATCATCCCCTCACCTTCCCCAGTATTGATAACAATCACTCACCTTTCCCAGTACTAGTATCATCCCCTCACCTTCCCCAGTATTGATAACAATCACTCACCTTTCCCAGTACTAGTATCATCCCCTCACCTTCCCCCATTACTGATGTCATCCCCTAACCATCCCCCAGTACTGGTATCATCCCCTCACCTTCCCCCAGTACTCATATCATCCCCTCGCCTTCCCCAAGTACTGTCATCATCCCCGCACCTACCCCAGTATTGATAACATTCACTCACCTTTCCCAGTACTCGTATCATCCCCTCACCTTCCTCCAGTAATGGTATCATCCCCTCACCTTCCCCCAGTACTAGTATCATCCCCTCACCTTCCCCAAGTACTCGTATCATCCCCTCACCTTCCTCCAGTACTGGTATCATCCCCTCACCTTCCCCCAGTACTAGTACCATCCCCTCACCTTCCCCCAGTACTGGTATCATCCCCTCACCTTCACCCAGTACTGGTATCATCCCCTCACCTTCCCAAAGTACTGACATCATCCCCTCACCTTCCCCAGTATTGATAACAATCACTCACCTTTCCCAGTACTAGTATCATCCCCTCACCTTCCCCAAGTACTGGTATCATCCCCTCACCTTCCCCCAGTACTAGTATCATCCCCTTACCTTCCCCCAGTACTGGTATCATCCCCTCACCTTCCCAAAGTACTGGTATCATCCCCTCACCTTCACCCAGTACTCGTATCATCCCCTCACCTTCCCCCAGTACTAGTATCATCCCCTCATCTTCCCAAAGTACTTGCATCATCCCCTCACTTTCCTCAGTATTGATAACATTCACTCATCTTCCCCCAGTACTGTATCATCCCCTCACCTTTTACAGTACTGGTATCATCCCCTCACCTTCCCTCAGTACAGAAATCATCCCCACACCTTCCCCAAGTACTGATATCATCCCCACACCTTCCCCCAGTACTGATATCATCCCCTCGCCGTCCCCCAGTACTGGTATCATCCCCTCACCTTCCCCTGTATTTATAACATTTACTCACCTTCCCCCAGTACTGATATCATCCCCTCACCTTCCCAAAGTACTGGCATCATCCCCTCACCTTCCCCAGTATTGATAACATTCACTCACCTTCCTCCAGTACTTGTTTCATCCCCTCACCTTTTACAGTACTGGTATCATCCCCTCACCTCCCAAGTACTGGTATCACCGCCTCATCTTCCCCAGAACTGGTATCATCCCCTAATTTTTCCCAAATACTGGTATCATCCTCTCATCTCCTGGCAGTACTGGTATCATCCCCTAATTTTTCCCCAGTGCGGCCATCATCCCCTCATCTTCCCAAGGTATTGGTATCATCTCCTCATCTCCCCCCAGTACTGGTATCATCCCCTCATCTTCCCTTAGTACGGGTACCATCCCCTTATTTTTCTCCAGTACGGCTATCATCCCCTAACCTTCCTCCAGTACTGGTATCATCCCCTCACTTTCCCCAAGTTCTGGTATCATTCCCTTATCTCCCCCAGTACAGGTATCATCCCCTCATCTCCCCCAGTACAGGTATCATCCCCTCACCTTCCCCCAGTACTGTTATCATCCCTTCACCTTCCCCCAGTACTGGTATCATCCGCCCAGTACTCGTATCATCTCCTCAACTTCTCCTCCCCCAGGACTGATGTAATCTCCACACTTTCCCCCAGTACTGATATTATCCCTTCACCTCCCAAAGTACTAGTATCATCTCATCATCTCCCCTAGTACTAGTACCATCTCTTCACATCTCACAGTACTGGTATCAACCCCTCATCTCCACCAGTACTGGTATCATCCCCTCACCTTCCTCTGTATTGGTATCATCATCTCATCTTCAAGAGTACTGGTATCCCCTCACCTTCCCCCAGCACTGGTATCATCCCCTCACCTTCCCCCAGCACTGGTATCATCCCCTTAACTTCCCCAAAGCTGGTATCATCCCCTCACCTTCCCCAGTATTGATATTATCCCCACACTTTCCCCCAGTATTGATATTATCCCGTCACCTCCCTCAGTACTGGTATCATCTCATCATCTCCCCCAATACTGGTATCATCTCCTCACCTTCACCTCCCCCATGCAGTACTGACATCATCCCCACACTTTCTCCCAGTACTGGTATTATCCCTTCACCTCCCTCAGTACTAGTATCATCTCATCATCTCCCTCAGTATTGGTGTCATCTCCTTACCTTCCCACAGTACTAGTATCATCCCCTCATCTTCACCCAGTACCGGTATCATCCCCTCACTTTCCCGCAGTAATGGTATTATTCCTTCACCTCCCTCAGTACTAGTATCATCTCATCATCTCCCCCAATACTGGTATAATCCCTTAACCTTCCCCAAGTACTGGTATCATCCCCTCATCTTCACCTCCCCAATTACTGTTATCATCTCCACACTTTCCCCTAGTACTGATATTATCCCTTCATCTCTCCAAGTACTAGTATCATCTCATCATCTGCCCCAGTACTAGCTTCATCTCATCATCTCTCTCAGTACTGGTACCATCTCCTCACCTTCCCGCAGTACTGGTATCATCCCCTAACCATCTTCCAGAACTGATATCATCCCCTCACCTTTCCCCCAGGTTGGGTTTTTCTCCCTTCACCTCTCCCAGTACTGGGGTATCATCCCCTCATTTTTTCCCAGTACTGGTATCATCCCTTCATCTTCAATCAGTACTGGTATCATCCCGTCATTTTTCCCCAGTACTGGTATCATCCCCTCACCTTCCCCCAGTACTGGTATCATCCCCTTACTTTCCAAAGTACTGGTATAATCCCTTCACCTCCCCCAGTACTGGTAAAATCCCCTCACCTTCCCAGTACTGGTACCACCGCCTCATCTTCACCAGAACTGGTATCATCCCCTTAACTTCCCCATACAGTACTAGTATTATTACCCAGTACTCAGGAATCATGCCCTCACACCCAACACCCTTCCCCAGTTCTGATAAAATATGCCCCCTTCCTCCAGTTCTGGTATCATCCCCACACCCCCAGTACTGATATCATCCAACAACTTTCCTATAACCCAATACTGGTGTAACTTCTCCCCACCTTAAGTAATCATCCCCTCCCCCTCCAGCTCTACAGTATGACTTGTTATTCTGGTTACTGACAAACAAGTTGATGAAACAAGAATATCAACAGTCGTGGTCCTCGTTTTGTTACTTCTATGGTTGATACAGTGACTTTTTTGGCAAATACAATCTAACATTGACGGATATTTTCCATAATCATTGAATGGTCAGGCCATTTCTGTTATTTCCCGACCAGGACAAGGAGCACACGGGGGCCTGACTGATCTGCAGGGGATACTCACTCCTTCATGACACCTGGTCCCACAATTTAAAAAAAAAAATTCACATGCAAAAATTCAGTTCCTGACAGTGAGATATAATATATAAGAAACATCTTGGAAAATAAAAATATTTTTGAAAAGTTTTATCGCGTTCTACAATACTTTCCCGGTATTATACTAACTACCTAGTAAGACTCTAGATTTTACTATGCTGAATACTATTTCCGGTAAAAATGTCAGCTCTCAGGTCCACATGTTTATTTAAACGAATACTTTTTAATAAGGGAACAAGCATCAAATTTGATTTTTATGATAACACTAGATCTATTACAAACTTTCGATATTTATATCGACCAGAAACATTACGGCCCCCGCTAGGTTTATGTGCTTGTGTGTTTTTCCGAAGGTCGACTGATCGGTTGTTTCAAAGCAGGAGTGTTATATATAACAACAGTGTTACGTCAGACTCAAACGTGAACTCTGAAAAGGGAGATGAGAAAAAATCCAAATGGAAGAAGTACGGGGAATATTTTATGTGGTTTACACTAGCTTCTTTTTCAGCAGGGTGTGTTTATGGTGCATATATTTTAGGTGAGAAAAATCACATAACAACAGGGGCTTGCCCCCGGCGTGTAATAATTATTTAAGCTTTGAATTCATATTTCTGGATGTTGTTGGTCCTATAACATACATGACCATGCCGATAAATTGAATACCGGCACGGTTTGATTATTTGTCGGCACGGCCAGGTGTGTTATGGGACCGCATGCATGTGACAGAACTGAACAATCACAACTGGAGATTTGAAATTTTTCAGCTGGAGTTTGGGTCTCAAAGCTGGAGATTTTTTATCTACATTTTTTTCAAATCGCAAAAGACCATCCAACTCCTTAGAAAATGCCATCTCCCTCTCTATTACTTAAAATAGTTTTTATTTCATAAAGGTTTATAAGCTTTAAAAAAATATGTTTAAATTTTTAGTCAAATGATCAGAAGTGAAATTAAATCAGAATTAAATTAATTCATTGAAATTAATTAAGAGTTAATATCATCACATGATCATCATTAAAACATTCAATGAATAAAATTTTATTTTTGATTTGGTATTGATACATCAACCAGTAAGTGAAGTAAAACATGCATAGACCTTATGTAACATATTTTTTGTCAGTAATTTGTTTTTAAATAGAATATGAATAGTCTCTAAAAATACAACAAAGTAGAGTGAAGTATATTTTTTTTAGCAGTAATTGAAGTAAAACATATGTATATAGGTCTTATGTAGCATATTTTATGTAAGTATTTTTTTTAAAATAGAATATAAAGAAATAAAATTAATTTCTCTTAAAATACAACAAAGTGAATGTAGAGTCAGGTATATTTTTTAGCAACACCCTGTAGTTTGATCTATTTTTAACTAAAGTCAAAAGTGTGACCCATATTATAACTGTATCTTTTAATGACCACCGCAGCATTAGAAGATGGCAATTGGGTATTTTAGCAACTAATTACAATGTTCTGCATTCAGCAATTCAGCAATAAAACATCGATGGTCATTTATCAAGTTGATATATCACTAATTTTTACAACCGAATTATACGACCTCATGTTGATTACTACGAAGCCTACTGCTGTGAAAATTTATTGCACTGCCGTTGTTATCTCAATGTATTGTCATTCTAAGCAATTATAAGAAACATCATAAAAAGTAATGCAAAATATATTTAATTTGAAGAATTATTTTAAGCACGGAAGATTTAAAAATTAATCGGGAGGGACGGAAGAGGGGTTAAAAATCGGGAGATTTTGCCTCCCGCCGGAAGAATCACATGTATGGGACCGACGACATCCAAAAATATGAATTCAATGCTTACATTTACATTCATTAATTTTCCCTCTTCATAATTGTTTATTTCGTTAATCTTTAAAGTGAATTTAGCGCCCTTCAAGTTTGATTTAAGTAATACATATAACTGCTGCGTAAGAGCTGTTCGTGATGTTGCAACGTTAATTAACGCAAACGAACATGCGAGGAAAAAAGTGACAAATTAATTTTAAACGCCCATTTGTTGTAGCTTTACATTACTTAATTTAACAGTGTTATAGTGTTTTGTATGAAATTGAGTTAAAACATTGTACATTTTTGATGTTCTTAGAGTATTGAATCATAGTTCCTACTGTACCATTAAAGCTTCATGTAATTTAAACCATTTTTAAATGTACATTTATTTGTTTTTAGGCCTACCACCAACAGACCCAGAAGGCAATGTTGTAAGTATGATAAATCTTTCTTATCACGCTTATATCTGTGCATTAATTCTTGCAGTACTTCATGTAATTTTGATAGTTTTTATGATTTTTTCCAGTTAAATGTACATAATTTAGGTCATTCCCAATAAGCATGTCTAACAAATTCTGTCAAACTTATCCTTTGTCTTGTAGGTTGAGGATGAATTTGGAAAAGGTGAGATTTTTCGAGGCCAAGTGCATTAATTGTAAATCATATTAATTGTAATAGGATAATGTACATGTGTCGTAGCATGAAAGTTCCATGCAACTTAATGCGGAATGAAAGTATTGTTAATTAAAAAATATTTCACATTAAAAAAGATTATCTACAAGTAAAATGTAACATTCAACACCTTATGATAAGACTTTGTTATATAATACAATATTCATCTACCATATAAAACATCTTGTTGTTTGCTAGCTGCAGATCTGTAGCTCTCCGAAAAAAATATTTTGATAGACCGGAGAGCTACAGTGCCACCCATTGAAAAAACTGTACATTTATTGCGCACAAAAAAGTGCGCTCAGTTATTGATTAATTCTTTCAAATTCTTACCTCAATTGCAAATAAGGAAAGATTTCAAAAAATTCCTTTATCTTCTATCAAGTACTCTCGTAGTTGACATCCGAACGAAGCATATTGGACCGAATTATCTTTGAAACCAAAATGGCAGTATAAATAAGCGAAATGTTCGATGATTACAATATCAGGGTCAGGAGGACTATTAACAACAATTATGAGAAATGTTTGGTTGTGGAAACAGCGAAAGAATATGTTAGGAACACACGGTTAGTAATATTTTGAGATTACATTTTTAAAAACATGGAGAAATAAATCGAGAACCGAGCGCACTTTTTTGTGCGCAATAAATATACAGTTTTTTCAATGGGTGGCACTGTAGCTCTCCGGTCTATCAAAATATTTTTTTCGGAGAGCTACAGATCTGCAGCTAGTTGTTTGCTGTAGGTTTCTCCATTCAAAGAAGTGTTGCCACCTTTAAAATCAAGAAACAGGTAAATTTCTTAAACATTATTAACTATATATAACATGCAATCTGTTCCATTGAGTCATTATTAGCCATTTAGAATGAATCAGTCTGTACACTTGATGAATCAGATTTTACACTTGATGAACCAGACTTGACACTTGTTGAATCAGATATTACACTTGTTGAATCAGACTTTCAGTCGATGAACCAGACTTTACACTTGATGGACGAGACTTTACACTTGATGAATCAGACAATACGTACACTTGTTGAGTCAGATTTTACACTTTGTAATCTACACTTGCTGAATCACACTTTACAGTTGTTGACATAACACTTGATGAATCAGACTTTACACTTGATGAATCAATTTTACACTTGATGAACCAGGCTTTACATTTATAGAACAAGATTTTCCACTTGTTGACATTACTCTTGTTGAATCAGACTTTACACTTGTTGAAACAGACTTTACACTTGTTGACATTACACTTTTACACTTGCTGTTTTCTGATAAAAGGAGATGAATCATACTTTACACTTGCTGAATCACACTTTACACTTGTTGACATAACACTAGATGAATAAGACTTTACACTTGTTGAATCAGACTTTACACTTGTTGAATCAGACTTTACACTTATTGACATAACTCTAGATGAATCAGACATTACACTTGTTGACAACACACTTTTACACTTGCTGTTTTCTGATGACAGGAGATGAATCATACTTTACACTTGCTGAATCACACTTTACACTTGTTGACATTACACTAAATGAATTAGACATTACACTAGATGAATCAGATATTACACTAGATGAATCAGACATTACACTTGTTGTCATAACACTTTACACTTGCAGTTTTCTGATAACAGGAGATAAATCAGACTTTACACTTGTTGAATCAGACTTTACACTTGTTGACATTACACTACATGAATCAGACATTACACTTTAACACTTGCTCTATTCTGATAACAGGAGATGAATCAGACATTACACTTGTTGACGTTACACTTTTACTGTTTTCTGATAACAGGAGATGGAGGAGCCCTCCAGGAAGAAGCTGCTCCCCGAGCCCCTCCAGCCGCCATTTGTCCAGCCCCCCTACACACTGGTCATGGAGATCACCGGGATCCTGGTCAAGCCGGAGTGGACGGTAATCTTTAACAACATGTGTCTACATAAATAGAGGGCACCTGCTTATAACAAACCAGAGTGGACGGTAAACTCTGACTCATACAAGTAACATTTCTTCATAAATAGAGGGCACCTGCTTATAACAAATCTTTAGTTTGTCTAGCTGGAGTGGACGGTAAGCTCTACCTCAGACAAGTAACATATGTCTACATACATAGAAGGCACCTGCTCATAACAAACCGGAGTGGATGGTAAACTCTGACTCATACAAAAACATATGT